GTTCCATGGATGAGAGGTCACCACTGAGAAGGCCTTGTCTCTTGACCCCACCAGTCATGCTTGTGAGGGGGTGAGATGGACAGCAGGGCCTCCCCAAATGATCTTAGCCTTCGAGGTGGATCATAGAAGGAGAGCTGGGCCAGAATCATTTAGGGCTTTATAGGCTAAAGCCAGCACTTATCCATAGAATTAAAAAAATCAATTAAAGAGAACACCTTTTTGCCAGCCTAAAAGGCCAATTGGAACAAAAAAAACTTTACAGCTGCCAACAAAAGGATGATGGGCCCACTGAAGAGCCCCTATCCTATGTTTTCATCAGCCACCAAATCATGGAGCTGGAAGAGACCATCGAGTTCAACCCTCTGTGATGCATGAATAAAAGCACTCCTGACAGATGACCATTCAGCTGTGAATACTTTTGGTTCAAGATTAGAACCTCCCCAGCTTGAGGAACACAATGATCATCATATTGCCTGAACATGAGCTATGTAGGGCTTCATAACTTATTACCAGTACTTTAAATTGCTCCCAGAAACAAATAAGTATATAATAGAGTTATCATGACAAGGGTCTTAATGGACTTGCTGGTGTAGATGAAGGCAAATGCGAAAGACAATGGCAGTGCCAATTCCTCATGGCTATGGAAAGGAACAAAAGAAACAGCTGGTGGCAACTCCAAGCCACTTACTCCTTGTAATGTTTGGCTTCTGAAAACAGAGAAGGGGTGGCTTAGATGCTAAACTGTGCCACACAGGAAGCAACATTTTCTTCATGACATATTTTAATACTAAATCCTTTACACCATATAAATCATTTGTTATAAGGTCGAGATATACAGGTATAGAGAAAAAAACTATAGGGGATCTTCAAAGAGAAAGGAACAAAGCAATCTTACATCCTCTGCTATCATTTCTATCTACTTTGTTGTCACACTTGCATTCTTTCTTAACTTTGCAATGATGAGTCATTAAATGACAATATGCCAAATGTCACTTTGCTTACAGTTGCAGATGAGTACTATCAGTTTCATTTCATTCCCCCAGACGATATAAAAACTGCACAAGGAAGCTGGGTAAAGAAACAAAGAGCCCTGAATTGCCAGTTCAATGCATTCTTAACGTTCCCAATTTGATATAGCTTGGTTCATCTTACAGAGAAGAGTAGGCATGTGGCTGGAGTTATGACAGATTGCAGAAAGGGGACCAAAGTATCCACGGGGCAAGAATTAGATGAATCATATCATAGTTATTCAACAAAAACTTTACTATCTTCTTCAATTAAATGCTTCCTTGTTTCAGACCACTTATGAATGACTAAGCAGAAGGTCAGACAGACAAGAATATAGCGCCTTGATAAATAGGACAAAAATGTCATTGATGCTTAATACCTTGTCTTTCCCCTGCTGGCTTTGAGCCTGCACAGGATATTTTGTGAAAGGGGAGAAGAGTGAAAAAAGCCTAGTTTTCAGCAACTGAAAAACCACAGATCTTAGCATTACTGGCAAAGGGGAAATAGTTTAATTTCCAAAACCAAGCATTCTCCCATTACACAATAGAGTCACCTTTCTACAATAGTCAATTTACTGCTTCTTCAGTTCCTCCCTCCAAGCCCCAGCTACACAGAGAATAGGCAATGTTCATGTCTTATACTCCCCGTGCACATGCACAGACACACACATTGTGCATGAACTGAACATGGTTTCAAATCAAAGTCATAAGATGCTTCAAATCTTGTGCGGGGAGAAAAGTAAGCAAGGAAATGACTGAATGAATACATAAGTAAAAACTCACTTTTATATCTTTATGAAATTACAGCCACCTTATGAGAAAGCAGAAGAAAAAATAATTCTTTCTAAATCATGCTAAAAGGAGCTGTACTCATTGCCTCCTTGCTTTCAAGGGTGTCTCTTCATTGGTACTATAAGCTGAAGTGGGGCCAAATATATACAATTCGACACAATTGCATGATTCACAGAATTGATTTTGCTCCATACAGGGAGAGATCCACTCCCATCTTGTGGCAGCTCCACTGGCTGCCAGTCTGCTTCCGGGCTAAATACAAAGTGCTGATCATGACCTTTAAAGCCCTAAATGGCTCGGATCCAGGCTATTTGACCGACTGCATCTCCTCTTACAAACCAGCCCTGGCACTGTGGTCATCAGAGGAGGCCCTGCTCTCAGTCCCACCCCCATCCCAAGCACGGCTGGTGGGGATGAGGGAGGGCCTTCTCTGTGGTTGCCCCCCACCTCTGGAACTCCCTCCCTAAAGAAATAAAGCTGACCCCCTACCTCTTCCTCTTTAAAAAAAACAACAACTGAAGACCTACTTTTACACACTAGCTTATGGAGAGGAGAAGGATTAGATAGTTGAGAGATCATTGCCAGGCCTCTGGTTGAGAATTATTTTTATTTATGCTTCCCACACCAGCCCAACGATCACATAACCAACCCGCAATGTTCAGTGAACCCTTGCTTTCTGTTGTACACCAGTGTGGATGTTTTGTTTAGATTTATGCTATTATAGAATTTTGTTTAACTATGTATAGTTTAATTTATTGATGTCAAGTTTAATTTACTGATGCTAGATAATCAATTTGAGGTTAGGTTTTAATGCTATTTTTATATGTGGGGTTTTTCTGGGATTTTATGTCAGTATCATGTGTTTTATGTAGGCATCAAATGTTTACCATTGTTATGTTGGAATCTGCCCTGAGTCCCTTTGGGGAGATAGTGCAGAATACAAATGAAGTTGTTTATTATTATTATTATTATTATTATTATTATTATTATTATTATTATTACAGCTGTGAATCACATTAACACAAATAGTGGGATACTCTGGAACCTTTGCAAAACTGTGGAACAACTTGCAACTTTGGACATGTGTAATCAATTGTATTGCTTTCTATTTGGGAAGCTGCCACAGTTGGTTACACTGCAATCCTGCATTCTCTAGATTTAGACAGCACAGGGATAAGGAATGGCACTAACTTCAACCCCCTGATCTACTATTTGCTGTGCCCACTGAGCAGAAAATGAAACAAGACATTGCTTACTACCAGAAGTGACACATCAAAAAGCACAATGGTGATTTCAGAAAGGAGGGAGAGGTGCAATTCCTTCTCCTTCTTTCATTACTTTGCCACACTGGATATCATAACTCTAAATGTCAAGCAGTGTCCAACTCCATTTTCATGCCTGGTGGTACTGCAAATGGCGTATCAGGGAGAGGGCAAGATAAGGGTTCCAGGCCATTCAACTGATGGACAGTTCAAGGGATTGGAGTGTAGCACCCAGAGATACTTGTCTGGGGTACCCTGCTCCAGATCACCATCACCTCTACTGCCCTGTCTTTTTGGATTTGCGGGAGAAACTCTTCCCCAATGCATTGTTGTAGGTTTTTCAGGCTATATGGCCATGTTCTAGAAGCATGCCCTCCTGACATTTCACCTGCATCTATGGCAAGCATCCTCAGAGGTTGTGACGTCTTCCCCAATGCTTTTATGCATTGCAGAGCAGCTAGGAAAAGAGCAGCTGGCTTGAAACACACGCTCCACCAGGGAGGTTCAATTATTCTGCAGTCATTTCAGTGCCAGGTAAATACTAGTCTGTTTGCTTGTGCACTTTAAACTGGCCCAGCTGCTCTATAGAGTGTTTTGAAACTGACTTGAGTGATTCTAATTTCACGTGTGTTGTTCCCTACTCTAACAGAATCAGAGTTGGAAGAGACCATATGGGTCATCCAGTCCAACCCACTGCCATGCAGGAAAAGCACAATCAAAGCACCCCTGATATGGCCACACAGCCTCTGTTTAAAAGCCTCCAAAGAAGGAGCTTCCACCACACTCTGAGGCAGAGAGTTCCACTGTTAAACTGCTCTTACAGTCAGTAAGTTCTTCCTAATGTTCAAGTGGAATCTCCTTTCCTGTAATTTGAACCCATTCTTCTGAGTCCTAAGTCTTCAGGGCAGCAGAAAACAAGCTTATTCTTCTGCCTTAGGACAGCCTTTCAAATATTTAAATATTGTGATCATCTTTTGATACACTTTCTAAGTATTTCAATCGTTTCTATAATAATGGTCAGATTTTAAATGGAAAAAGGGAGGTGAAAAACAGAAAAGAAAGAAAGGCCACTACAACGTGGATATTTGTTTTCTTAGTACAGCACCATTTCCATCAACCTGCATTTTGTTAGTTAAAGTATTTCTTTCGGCACATGCCTGGTACAGATTCCTTTAGTTTCTTTACTAGATTCATTTTATGGCTAGTCATTACCAGACAACATTTCGTTTTTATTTTATTTTTCAACTTTATTAACATTTCATTTGTATTTGATATTTTATTTTTAAAATAACTTTAAAATATCAGCTTCCCTCATTTTGTTTTCTATCCTTTGGTTCACTATGTCACTCTTTGCTTAGAAACCCAGATTTGTGATATATGGAGAGTTAAAGCCAGCACACAGCCTACTGATGAAGATTTAAGATGGGACAACTCCACATGACATGCTTGATTTAACTAGAAAGATTATCCTACGCTGAACTGAAGGTAACATCATTTATCACTTGCACACATATTCAAACGCACACACATAAACCATCCCTTCACAGATGCCTGCAAGGAGCAGAGTTCATATCAAGTGCTTTCTAGTCAGCACATTTCATGTGCACAACATACGCATTTTATTCAGATATTCTTAGAAAAGAGATTCCACTGTACACTGAAATTCTGTGTCATTAATAATAATAACCCTTAATAATAATAATAATAATAATAATAATAATAATAATAATAATGGGCTTGGATCTTAATACCATTAATGAAGAGAAGAAGGACAGAAGAAACATTTGTGAACAAAATGGATGTAGCAGGTTTCTGTTCCCCTTTCCACTCCCCAATCCACTCATTCCTTTCCAGTTGCTAGTGTTTGAACAAGAAGTTTCCTTGCATCATTTCTGCATATCCAAAAAAGAAATTTAAAGTAAATTCAAATCACACTTACTTTGAAAGGAGGATGACACAGTTTTGAGCTCTTCTGCCATCAATCACAGAAAGCTCTTTAACCTTTCGACTGGTTAGATACAAATCTTCAGTTGATCCCATTTCCTTCTACAAATTGTTTCAAAAAACATAAAAATCAGTGGCATATATTTCTCTTCTTCATTTTTTAAACAATGTAATACAGAGGAAGCCATTAAGTAGCTAGGGATTTGAGATCCAATTATTAAATTTTTTGAAAAAATCCATCCAAGATGCAGGATTGTAAAGCCAAAATTTAAAAGAAGCTTCATGAAGCTTAAAGGAGTTTCTTTTCTGTCCTAGCTCTCTAGTTAACCCAATGACATATTTACTCACATGTGAAAACACACATATGGAAAAAGGATAGTATGTGCATGTGAAAGTCTTTACTATGTCTGGTTCCCATCTTAAACAGGATTGCCCACACTTCATAGCACTCTCTTGCCTCATCCTCCAGTGTACCCCAAGAATCTCTCAATATTACCAACTAAATTTGACTCCCTTATCTACAGGTTTTGTATCCTGTCCTCTCTATGAATTTTCTATGTTGTTCAGGAAATTCTATGGTTTGCTTCCACTGGATGTTGCTATGATTTGTCCTGGAAGACCTAGAAAATTCCTAGGAGGATACTCTATGGTAATTTCATTTCAATACAATATGTTGCTATCTATGGTTTTCTTCAATAGTATGTTCATGACTATATCCCCTGTGGATACAGAGGCCATATTGTATCAACTGGTGAATAATGAAGCAACGTCTTAAATTAATTCAACAGATTTATACTTGCCAGGCTTAACAATAACAATGAGGTTACAATATCTTTACTCAAACATCAAAAACAAATCCGTGAAAAAAGGTCAATTGTACAATTAAGGGCTTGGATCTTAATGGCATTCATGAACAGAAAGGAATCTTTTGTTCACAAAAGTACCACTATCGCATACTTGCAGAAGAAATGATTCTTCCCTCTCCCTGAAACCCTGACTCTCTTCTCCCTTTCTCCCTTCTTTTCACCAGAAAGGTGATGAGCAAAACTATGCTAAAGTGATGTCCCCATCAAAGACCAAATGCAGTCTTCTAACTTATATAAATGAAATCACTACTTAAAAATATGACAATCTCTCCATCTCAAAGTAATTCATTTTTTCAAATTCCATGTTTTCATCCCATTTTTTTTATCCCATGGTACTTTTTGTTTCCCAAGTTGAAATCTATACCTGTTAAAAACATTGTCATAATGTTTCATTTTTATGAATTTCCTCCACAGACTAAAGCTTTTTTTCTGCAATGTTTTTTAACTGTATGTACTTTGTAAATCTTTCTGCAGTAAAATATATGCACTCTTTTCTAAGCACTTTGAGTGTCCATCAAACCTCACAAATGTCCAGATTCTTCACACAAAGTTCATTTTAGCAATAAGTTTGATGAGGATGAGAAAAGCTATACTTTGCTTGTTAAATTACGGAGGCACAAAGAAAAGAGGAAGACCTATTATGGATTATTTCAGTCCATCACAGGCCAGAATTTGCAACACCTGAGCAGTGCTGTTGAGGACTAAGACCTCTTCTACTGCCATATCAAATCTAGATTGTCTGCTTTGAACTGGAAGTATAGACTCAAGATAATCCAGTTCAAAGCAGATAATATGGATTATCCACCTTGAAAATCTGGATTATATGGCAGTGTAAAGAGGCCTGAGACTCTTATCTCTCAATCATAAATCCCTATAAGTCTTAGGGCCCTTCCATGTGGCCCCTTTATCCCAGATTATCTGTTTATCGCAGGTTATCTGGCAGTGGGGACTCATATTTTCCAATTTAAAGCAGATCATCTGGGATCTGATCCTGGGATAAAGGGAGGTGTAGAATCAACTTGACAGCATATAACAGCAATACAAACGCTACTTCCATTCCAACTGTTGAATTCAGTGCAATGTATTTCCTTCCCTACTCATGAGCAATGTGCAAAGTGATCTTTGGATCCTTTTTGAAAACCCTAGGCCATGTGTAGCCTCGCTTTCAAAATATTTGTGGTACAGTAAGTAATTTCTCACACCTGGAAGCTTCCATTTTGTCAAAAGAAATCCCCAAAATATCCTCAGAATCCCCCTCCAACATTCTCTCCAAAACAAAAGAAACATTCTGTTCCCTGCTGCTTCTGTTTATGAGTGTATATGAGCATATTTTCAGGAGCAGAGTAGCCTCCAAAAGGTAGAGAAGGCTACACAAAAAGACAGCAACTTTTGAAGCCATGAAATACTAATCCATGAAGTCCACAAAAATGAAGACAAAAGGAGTCTTACTCATATAGTAAACAGCCTGGGTCCTGGTGTTTCTGCTGGGTTTCTTAATGTAAACATTGGAAAAGAACTGCATTAACTCAGAACAGGTGACAGACAGTAATACTCACCTGCTTACAGGAAGAAGGGGGGTTAGTTAGCAGGTCCTACTCAGGCAGCAAATCCAAGACGACAGAGAAGGAAACATGCCAACAGTTAGCCATAAGAATAAAAGGTACCGAGTTTACCAAAGCAATAGTACTTGATTTTCTAAGTAATTAAAATGCTACAGCTGTTAAGAATCTAAGAGGAAACATATCAAGGTTTGTTCTCCCCTCCATGAACAGGTAACACTGTTAGCAAAGTGAAAGGATGGAATAGGCACCTTTTGTGCGCAGAATCCACAACTAACACTTAACACGCCAACATCTTTACATATCTACTCAGAAGTAGGTCTGACTTATTTCAATGACTATGGTCTAAGTATCCCAACACCTTTTGAGACAATCTTAAAAAACAAGGCAAAAGCATTTGGAATATATTTTCAAGGTTTAGTGAGAATTTGAAATAACCTCTATTCATGCTGAAGCCTCATCTCTCCATAGCCAAGAGCAGGTGCATTATTAAGGAAGGGAGAACAAACACTTTGCCTTTTCAAAGAAAGCAGGAGAAGTTCAAAATGAAAGAAACTGATAGAAGAGACTTATTAATATTATATTAATTGCAGCAGGCAAAATATGTCAATCTCACATACTCCTCACTCACTTGTACACTCTGAGCTCCATTGACAAAAGATCAGTGTTGGAATAATACTTGAATTTGGAAACACTGATTGATGTTTAAAAGTCATAAACTCAAAGTAAGTTATCACTGTCCAGAATATGGTTGTCCAGAATAGACAATCGTGCCTCAGTTTGATAAGTGGAAATATTGACAAGCTTTTTATCAGTATACTCCTAGTGCCATCCTTGTCTATTACCAAGTTCTCAGTTAAGTTTCCTGTTATATTTAAATAGGAAACCTATGGTTAATAGATGTAAAATGAGGTAGGATATTAAAGGACTATTTGAAACTGGTTTAAGACTATAATATTTCCAGTATCTAGTAAATATACATTCACAGTTAGTGAAAAGTGCTGAGGAGTAGAGCCTGTGAGAACCTAGAAACTTAGGAAGATCTACAACGGAACTGGAGTCAGGATTCATATATTACTTTCAAATTTCAAATGGTTTTTATTTTTTCGAAAGTGCATTTTGAGTCTTACCAGGAGCACACAAATAAAATGGGCCAATTCTAGTGGGAACTGAAAGGTGTTGTAGTCAGGCCAGTTTAAGGAGTCATGCACTAAAAGCTTTTTGTTGGCTCCATATAGGACAAGATGTCAGAAGGTTTACCATTAGAAACGGCTTTTATTGTGACCTGTTTGTAATACAGGCACTAAAAGGAAAACTGAGGATGTAACAAGGCCTTTCATTTGGTTTCATAATTTTGTATTATTGGATAAAAGAGATTTAGGCGCCAAAATAGCTTTGTGCTGTCATCTGAACAGCAGCAGGCTGCTTCAAGAAAGCTAAAATAAGCCATGTTTTCAGATTACATTCCAATAGTTAGGAAGGATTTGGAAAGGAGAGAAAAGATGGATAAAACCTTCACAGCTTTCTTCCAGCTGAATTTCATTCATTAGAGGCAGACAAAATACAGGTGATTTGCTTTCCAAGAAAATGGAGAGGAAAAATTCTAATAAACAGCTGCTGTTAAAATACGTTGCCAGTGTTATAATCTTTATTTGTTAGAACAAAGAAAAAGAAAGCAACCTGAGACAAACAAAATGCTGAGCTAATCTAATCTCACAGCTCCAAACTAAGCAATTGCTTGCAACGTTTTATTCAAGAGGAGTTGGTTTGCAAGGGCAGGAGAAAGAGAAAGAAATAAAACTGGCAGCACGAGATCCCAAGATCAAAAGTTTTAAACAACTAGAAATCTAGATGAAACAGGAGTACTTCTTTCTGGAGTACAAACACGTTTTAAAAACAAAAAACAAAGGGCAGACTCAACTCCAGGTCTGACTCGAAGCCAAAGTAATATAACAGTGGTTTTATTGTGCTCTCATCTTTACCTTCAGAACTAGTGTTAGTTCCAAGGCCTGACATGGGTTGTGTTGATGCTGCTCACTGGGATTTCCCCCCCACACACACACACACACACACAGGTCCAGGTCTCCAAACAACACCAGGTAATTTGGTCTAAGGACCAAATTGTGTGAAATTAAAATGGTTGTAAGATTGAGCTCTCCTTGGAATACTACAGCAATCAAAGTGGCATACTGTGGCCGCAATGGATTAACAGAAAATAGAGCTCTCCAAAGGGCTCTCCTCGAGAGCAGAACTTGGAACTTATTAGAAGAACAACTCCCATTGACCTGGGGGATTCTGGGAGTCATCATGAAAAAAAGTAACTTATCTAAGCTCTGTTCTGAAACAGAAAACATATTCATTGCTCCAGTCCACTGGTACACTAGACATGAGAATCAATTATACAGAGATGTTCCCGGGACTGAAAGGTTAAAATGATGGGAACAAGAGGGGATTAACTTACCTGGTGTCTTTGATAAGCTGAGAACATCTTCTCAAAATCCTCCAAATCAAGCATCTTGAAAGCCCTTAAATCATCGATTTCATGCCAAATTGTGCCATGTATCTTTTCCTAAAATCCAAAAGAGATTCACACAGATATGTTGTTAGTGTTGCCACTGTAGTGACACACATTAAAATCATCATATTGAAATTGTAAGTTCATGGGGTTTATCTTTTCTCCATCATCCACCTGAAGGTCTAGTTCTTCTCCACTGCTTTTAAAACTTCCCTTTTCCACAATCAAAAATGAGCTTTTAAAATTAACTGCCTTTACTGTTTATTTAAAACATTCCAGAGTAAAGCTCATAAAAAGTCTTTTTGGATTACAGCACTGGAATTCTGGGAGCTATATGGCAAAGAGGAACTTTTTCAAGTTTTCCATAAATGTAGGCACCATTTAAATAGATTTGTATTAGTGTTCACTTAATGCCAAAGAAAAAATAAATTTTAAAATGTTCAAAGACACCAGAGGGTGAGGGGAATGCTGGAGGAAACCATCACATTGGCGACAAAGCTGAAGACCTTCACAGCATGCGGTGTCTTGTGGTCCAGATGAAAGGATTACCAAGTGGCTGCAAAGGGATCTTTCAAAGCCTTCTGGTCTGAAGTTCCTGGAGTGCACTCAGGCAGCAAAGTGCATTAACACTTCATTATTGAAGTAATTAGAAACAGCCTCAATTTCCCACACACAATCATTAAAAAGCTAAAACAGGCAAGGAACAAGTCAGCACTCAAAGCAACAAGCAGACCTGATGATGGGGGGTAGGGAAAGGGAAAGAAAGTTCAAAGTAAGAGGCAGAAGTGACAGGAAGTGCTGAGCAATTAAAAACAACAATAACAGATATATCTTTTTACTCTTTTGAGCACAACAAATTATGCTGTGTATCAGAACCAAGTTCCACAAAGACCGTTGATGGTTTCAATGGCTTCCTGAAGACACCATACTGGTTATAGTTTTCATGCTCAAAATACATTTTGCACTATTGTTGCTTTTCCTCAGAGACCATCTTACAAAATAACTCTTTGGGAGGCTTGAAACAGGAGGACCAATTATGGAATAATGAGACTAGGCACAAAAAGTTAGGTTAAATAAGGGCCACTTTATTTGACCTATATCCTACTTAAGTTAACTGAACCTGAACGAAGAAAAAAGGGGAGAGCAATATGATGTGGATACAGTTGTGGTTAGATGTCTACTCTTTAGCTTTCCCTTTGACAATCATTTTCCAATAGTTGGAGAAAAAGAAGGCTAAGAGGGGACATGATAGCCATGTTTAAATATTTGAAAGGATGTCACAATGAGGAGGAAGTAAGCTTGTTTTCTGCTCCTCTGGAGACCAGGACATGGAGCAATGGATTCAAATTGCAGGGGAGAAGATTCCACCTGAACATTAGGAAGAACATCCTGAGGGTGATAACTGTTCAGCAGTGGAATATGCTGCCTCAGAGTGTGATGGAGACTCCTTCTCTGGTGGTTTTTAAGCAGAGGCTGGATGGCCATCTTTTGGAAATTCTTAGATTGTGTCTTCCTGCATGGAAGAATAGGGTTAGACTGGATAGCCCTTGGGCTCTCTTTCAACTCTATGATTCCTCACTCAGTCGCTTACTGGAAGGTAAAGTCAGGGTACTCCCACCTCAGTGCCATCCTTAAGCGTAAACTTCCCCACAATGATTTTCAAAATGCTTTAAAATGTATTTTAATATTTTGTAACATTGACATATAAGTGTATAGTCTATGTTATTCATAACTAGTTAGAAACCATGTTTTCAAGTTGGCTTGTTTTGAAACTGATCACAGATACTGCTAAACCACCATCACTGGCAAATATGAAACAGGCTGCATTTATATGAAAACAAAGATCCCAAAATAGGCATTGTGGGGAAAAGAAGGGACATGCAGCTCATGTGCATTACAATAAATTAGCTCATTCTGACTGCTTAGGCTATATCTCATACCCCTGAATGGACTGTACTTGTGTGTGAACAACCTTCCATGGAAGGGAGGTTCCTGTCCTGATACTGATCCTTTTTCCCTGACATAAAAATGGATTCGTTTTGCCAAACCATTTTCATAGCTGCTCAGTTCTAGATTACGTATAGTTGCTTTCCCTCAACTAAAAAGACTGAGTATTCTCAAAGAAACAATGATTCATGAAGTCTCTTTGCTCAGACACATGCTTTCCTTAGCTTCATAAACATATTTGTTGTCCCTAATAAGCAGCGTAAAACAAAATAAATTCTTGTTCTTTCACTGTTACTTTAAAAGGTCATTTATCTGTGTATCATTCTATTTTTTCTTTCTTAACGAGATATTTTTGTTCCCAGTTAATCTTCTCAACATTAGTTATCTGGTTTCTCTGCTATGTAAAAGTTGTAACCCATTATGAGAAATCAGACCTGTGAACAATGTTTCCCAGGGTTCTCCAGAGATTGCCTAAGACACAGAGGGGAAAGTATTTAAAGAACATGCACACACCATTAGTCTGAATACGTCTTTATAAGGAACTGTCCCTTTGGACAGGATTGGTTTCCTAAATGTATTTTATAATCCCACCACACTTGTGTCATTTGCACTTAAATACTTGACATAAAGTACAGTCAGTGTGAGACAAGCCAGAAATAGGTTCAGCATAAAGAATGGAAATCCGTACTTTTTCTTCCCAGCAATGGCTTCTTATTCCCAAACTAAATCATAATGGGCTGTTTAGTGCCTATATATAGAACAGGCCCCTGTTATTTTGTGAAAAGGAGACCAGTAAAATCCTAAAGTTTTGAAGAAACATGTAGCATTGGGATACATGTCTGTTTTATGATCTGTAGAACGTAACAGGGAAAGTTGTTCATTAACTCCATTTTATTTCAGGAAGAGACTGGAGACTGAGGACACACTCACTGCCAAGTTGTTACTTTTTCATAATGCAACTAGCCATTTCTCCAGCCAATAACCATATAAAACCCCTTTAAAAGGCTTCTCCTATGACAGGGAGGAATAATGTGTTCTCCCCCAAATGTTCCTGTATTGAAACTCCTATTAACTTTAGCGTCAGTCAGGGATTATACTTTTAGGGAATGTACAGTTGTTCAAATATTGTAATCTAATAACATTTGGAGGGCTGTACATCCCCCAGCCCAGGCAAAGTCCACACGTCTAAAACATATCAACTTATAACAAACCATTAAAGAGACAGATGGAAAGTTTGTAAAAATAGGAGGAATCTGTGTTTTTCAAGAAGAATGCTGTGGATGTACAATCTCGATTTCAGTAATTACTGAATCTTGATTACTGAATCTTGATTTCAGTAAGGCCTTTGACAAAGTCCCCCATGACCTTATTGAAAGGAAGTTAGAGAAATGTGGGCTAGGCAATACTACTATTAGGTGGATCTAAAATTGGTTAAGCGATTGAACCCAAAGGGTGCTCATCAAAGGTTCCTCTTCATCCTGGAAATAAGTGACTACTGGAGTGCTGCAGGGTTCAGTCCTGGGCCCAGTTCTGTTCAACATCTTTATTAATGACTTGGATGAACGTTTAGAGAGTGTGCTTATCAAGTTTGCAGTTGATACCAAATTAAGAGGGATAGCTAATACTCCAGAGGACAGGATCAAAAATCAAAATGACCTTAACAGATTAGAGAGCTGGGTCAAAACTAACAAAATGAATTTCAACAAGGTCAAACCTAAGATGCTACACTTAGGCAGAAAAAAAATGAAATGCAAAGATACAGGATGGGTGATGCCTGGCTTGATAACAGTACATGTGGAAAAGATCTTGGAGTCTTTGTGGACAACAAGTTGAACATGCACCAACAGTGAAATGCAGCAGCTAAAAAAGCCAATCAGATTTTGGGCTGCATCAAAAGGAGTCTAGTGTCTAGATCGCGGGAAGTCATGGTACATTTGTATTCTGCTTTGGTTAGACCTAACCTGGAATACTGAGTTCAATTCTGGGCAACACAGCTCAAAAGAGAGATTGACAAGCTGGAAGGTGTCCAGAGGAGGGCTACTAAAATGATCAAAGGTATGTTTAGCCTGCAGAAGAGAAAGCTAAGAGGAGACATGATAGCCATGTATGATATGTGAAAGGGTATCATAAGGAAGAGAGAGCAGACTTGTTTTCCGCTGTCCTTGAAACTAGGACTAGGAGCAATGGGCTCAAATAACAGGAAAGGGGATTCCACCTGAACTTTGGGAGGAACTTCCTGATCATACGAGCTGTTCAACAGTGGAACTCTGCCTCAGGTTGTGGTAGAAATTCATTTTTTTGGAAACTTTTAAACAGAGGCTGAATTGATTGTGCTTTTCCTGCATGGCAGGGGATTGGACTCGATATCCCACGTGGTCTCTTCTAACTCTATTATTCTGTGATTTTAAGATTCTAAGACAAATCAGGCTTTTTACAAGCCCCAATAAAACCCATCAAGGGAACTTCCTGTTCATGAGAATTAACCAATCTACACATGACACCAAAGTTTCCACCCAGGATCACTTTTCTAATTTGATTCTATCCTTCATTATGACCTGTGGTTTTTGCTGTAATGAAGAATTCACCTAAACCTGTGGTCCATGGGATAAACACATGCAACCCATAAACCATGGCATATTGAGTGGCAGAGAAAGAAGAGTCAGGACTACAGAGTTGCAATTTCCGCTTATTTCTGGCTATGACTCCAGCTAACTCTGTGTATGGTCCTAAAGACATTTCTTTGAGTCACTTCTCCATCACAGGACTGGCCTGAAGCTATTATACTTATTTTGTGATCCAGGACCTAAATATGTGTGTCACATTTCTTTCTACAAAGAAATGTAACATATACATTTTTTAAATAGTCCAGAATATTGAAATATTTCACTTTTGATTTGTTAACAGATATGAAGAGGAAGCAGTAATCATATACTCATCAACACAATGTTTCTGCTTCATGTTTCACCATGCAAAATCTCTCACAAATAAGGCCAACATAAGTCTCTCAAAGGAAATTAGTGGGCTGTTGCAGTTTCCTTGCTAAAACAGAAGCATCCTCCTCCCAAGCATTCTAGCTTCCCGCTTGAATAGCCCCAGAGGGACAAAGGGGATGTAAATTATTTTATCAACAAGAACTAAAAAATATTTTCTCCTGCTTTAAAGCAGACAATGTCGCTAAATTCTCCTTCTTTTTTTAGAAAGAATAACATAATAAGGCCTTACCATCCAAAGTCAAGAGAGAAATTCAAGTGATTCTAGAACTGAAACCCAACCAATAGTTGTCATGCCTAGCCTTTACTGAAACACGATACTAGCAGCATGCCAGGAGTCCTCAAACTTTTTAAACAGAGGGCCAGTTCCCTCAGATTGTTGGGGGCCAGGCTAAAGTTTGAAAAAACACACAAACCAATTACTATGCACACTATACATACCTTATTTGTAGTGCAAAAAAAAGAAAGAATATTTAAAATGAATAATTTTAACCAACATAAACTTACCAGTATTTCAACAGGAAGTGTTGGCCTGCTTTTGGCTAATGAGATAGTCAAGTTAATTAAGATTGTTGTTGTGGGCCTTCAAGTTGTTTCAGACCAAGAGTGACTCTAAATCTAAAGTTTAGGGCAGATGCCAAGGAAATGACCTTGGAGGGCCACATCCAGCCTGTGGGCCTTAGTTTGAGGCTCCCTGGTTTATACTCTAGAATCTCCAAAAACAAAAAGGGATAAATTTGCCCTGATACCCATAAGTACAATTAAATGACAGTTCCTAAAATTCACTGATCTGGCTAACTGGGATATTCTGGAAACTGAAACCCAAAAATTAACTTTTTCCATCCCCGAGAATGGTACTAGTAGGCCAATTGACATAGCTGTTAAAATAAAGGGAACACAATTGGCTAAATAATTTTAGAGCAAAAATGGGCAACAGAAACTGCATTGTCTATAGCTTTACACAGTTCTTCCTCTGTGAATGAAGTCAAACTACTTTATATATACCATATTTCATCACATAATAGTCTCCACTGTGTAATAGTCAAAACCCTATTTTAGGGATCCCAGTTTCAGTATTTCAGTTTTCTTCACATCATACCCTTGATTTACTGGTGTAAGCTTCCATCTGCTTGCCCATCCACCCACCCAAAGACATATCTGCTCACTTCACTAATTCGCCCTTCTACTTGCCCACCCAAAGGCCCACTCCCCCACTCACACAATCACTCAGTCATCCACCCAATGACCACTCCCTTACAGAAACATTGACGAAGTGGCACTCTTCAAAAGCATTGGTCAGCAAACTTTTAATATACATGTGTTATTGTGATAATTTTATGCTTATGTTGTTTTGTTAATTTTATGTTATGCTGTTTACTTTGTATGTTTCAGTGATGTTACTTGGAAACCGCCCTGAGTCCCCCTCAGGGAGATAGAGTGGTATATAAATAAAGTTGTTTTTATTTATTTATTTATTTATTTATTTATTATGGATGGACAACAGCGCGAGTGCATGACAGTGTGTGTGTGAGTGAGAGGGAGGATGGTTCTTTGGGCAGGCAAATGGATGAGCAGGTGAATATGCTAGTGAGTGATGTGCCCTTGCTAAAAGCAATGGCAGTGGTGCAGTCTTTTGTCAAGGAAGATTAAAATGTTTAACTATGTAAATTTGTTTCCTGGACACTCTTAGATATGTTCTCAAGTTGTCTTCAATGTCATTTTATTTTTAAGAAGTACTTTTTTGGAACAAAAAAAGGTTTTTTCTCCTCATATAATAGTCGAACCTGCCCCCCTTTTTAAAGAAGTGGGATAAAATATGGTATATTAGATTTAAAAAGGTGGAGTGTGCAAACAATTCAATTAATTCAAATTACAAGAATGAAGACTGTGAGTGTTTCCTGATAGTACAAGCTATTTAACAAAGTCTGTACCTTTGACTTTCCCTCTCTGGAGGTATTTAAAATGAGGTCAGGTGACCCTTTCTCATGGGAACTCTACCAGTTCCTTCCTGCACTGACAGGAATTAGACTACATGGTTCTCTGCGTGCTTTCCAGCAAAATTATTCTATTATCTCTGATGATGATGATGATGATGATGATGATGATGATGATGATGATGATGATTATGATGATGATGATGATTGTCTTCATGTTTAAAATGCAATTTCAGGGAGCTGAGAATTTGTTCAAAACAGCTAGACTGTGATAACACTTGTTTGTTCACCTCTGTATTATTTTCTCAATCATTGCCCCATTCCAAACTACCTACACAGCTATTTCTTATTGAAAGAGCAGGGATGCATTTTCCCAATATAAGTGAGAAATGGGAAAATGGTACAAAAAGAATGAGTTAATTGGGTCATTGATCTATTAAGAGACAACCTTTCCTCTGTTGTGATGGGGCTGGCGTGCCAAGACTTTGTAACAAACAGCACTGAATGTCTCTAGAGAGCAATCAAGTGACTGGAATTTAAACTTGAGGCAAACCCATCATGAACCAAGTGAAATGAAGAATGCAAGCCAAGGAAAGCATTGGTTGAGCAATTTGAAAATTAGTATAATGTGCTGGAGGTTTTTTTTTTTTAACATTGATATGTAAGGACCATGCAACTCGCTCCGTACAGTTCACACAACGGAATTATCATAAATCATGTAATGCAAGGTCAACACAAAGCCCTCAGTAATATACCAGTTAGAACAAAACAAGACAGAATAAAATTTAAAAACCCTATTTGACCAGTTTATACTAATCAGTAACTGTAAACAGACATATTTCCAAAATCCATCTGTAAGTGCACAAGGAAGCAGCCAAAATATTTTCCATGGCAAGCAGAGCTACAACAAGCGGGTGGTCATCAAAAGAGTCATGTTTGTGTATCCTCCCCAACTTAATGGTCATTTCCAGTGAGAGGGAAAACAGAACCCATGCACCCAATCCCAATGGTTGGGTAATGTTGGATAGATGCAGGTCGGTCTCAAGTAATTTCTATCTAAACTATGTATGGCCGAAAGTTTGAACTGAGCCTGATCTGGAAACCACTACAACTAGCAAAGCCTTAGCTCAGTGGTTCTCAACCTGTGGATCCCTGTGGCTGTCAGCTGCCAGAAATCCTAACAGTTATTAAACTGACTGGGATTTCTGGGAGTTCTAGGCCAAAACACGTGGGGACCCACAGGTTGAGAACCACTGCCTTAGCTCAGTGGTTCTCAACCTGTGGGTCTCCCAGGTGTTTTGGCCTGCAACTCTCAGAAATCCTAACTAATTTACCAGCAGTTAGAATTTCTGGGAGTTGAAGGCCAAAACATCTGGGGACCCACAGGTTGAGAACCACTGCTTTGGCTGGTTACTCCACATCCTCTCCACAACTGCCCAGATACAATTCTTCAAAACTTTCACAACCTCCTTAGAATCCATGGATAGAGGTATAATGAAAACCCTCCCTCTATAATCAAAGGCCTCATGGTACAATGTATATCCCAGACGTGGCTACATTTTAACTAATGAGGCACCCTGGGAAACTACAAACTATTCATTAGCCAGAAAATATTAATAAACTGCAAACTCTATCATACACTTCCTCTTAAACACCCAAACTATACCTTCAGGCTCCCAAGCAGAATTTTATTCACTCCCAAGCCCCCATTTATTAGCACAGCTGCCTCCACTCTTAACCAGAGGGAAGGATAAGTCTGTGGTACGCTAAGCAGAAACACCTGTGTTTCTCTTTGCAATCCCTCCCTGTGTATGTATGTAGTTGTTACATCTTTTCTGCAAAGCACTAAGTGCTATGTTCTAAAAATGAAAATAAATCCCTCCCTTACATTCTCTCCCACAGCCCCACGTGGCTCTAACAGACAAGCACAGGCGGAGCTGCAGATATTTTACTTCATCTTATTTTTAAAAGAAAAGGAAAGTGTGAGAGCAAATTCTTGTGGCATTCCAGAGGTCCCAGGACACTCATTCCAAATGCCTGAGCTGAGCCCTGAGTCTAAAAAAGAGTGTGGATTTTTAGGCTATGATCCAAATCCAACACAGACACTATTCGATTTGCAATTTTTATGCAACTAAAGAAGAAATAAGAGTGGTAAGGAATACAAGGGTGGGGAGAGATTGCAGAATCTAAAGGAACAAATACTCTGGGTATTCATCAGGTCTGTATGACAAAGACTTTAACTAGAAAAACGGGAGAAATATATACATACATGACTGTGAACAAGCTGCTGTCAATTCTGCACACTTCTTCCCAATTTTCTTTGCAACTATTCTAAAACTTTGACATTTTTTCTGCATGTAGTCACTGTCAAAAAGCTCTTCTTAGTCTATATGTATCTTTCTAAAGATTTTTATCCAATTGTATGTATTTATTAACATATTAGCTAAAAAAAATCCTGGTTATGATGGGATTAGGGATGCACAAATCTGTTGTTTTTCGTCTCATTCTAATTGATTTTGTTAGTTTTTTTCATACTTAAATTTGTTTTGTCCTATAGCAGTACCAACATACAATTTTTTAATAAAATATGCAGGAAAATCAAGACTGTATCCAGACAATTTCCTCCATATAATTCATCTACTTTTGCCATTTCTTTCTAAATATTAGTGTGTGTGCATTTCATCCTAATATCTTGTAACGGAACCCAATTTCAAAATTCGTCTGATTCTAAATCCGATGAACAACACTATTCAAGCTGGAACCATCTCAAGAATATGAAAAGAAAATTGGAGTCATTTTCAAGTCTTTTATCAAAACAGTTGTACATTCATTTGCAGTATTTATGTCTGGAAAATTATTGGGTCAACAGGTTCTTTGTAATCTTTTTCATGGCAATTATCTCTACGATTCTCATTTGAAAATCTCAGATAGTCTAATCAATGACCCATGATATGTAAGAAAAAGGAACACTCCTGTTACTTACTTCATTCAGTTTGGACCAATTGAAAGACTTCAGTGGATGTGATGGCTGTGGGATTGATTTCTTTTTTAGGCTGGTCCCGTTGCTGCTGCTACTGCTGAAGGTTGTGGTGGAGGAAAGTGGAGGCATTCCCATATTGAAGCATGGTGGTGCTCCGGGTGGAGGAGGAGGTCCTCCTGGGGGAGGAGGTGGTGCTGGAGGAGGTGGACAGCTGGAGAATGGAAGAGGTGGAGGAGGAGGCGGTAAGGTGTCCAATGATGGTAAAGAAGAGGGGAGAGCAAAAGGGCCACCAGGAGGGAGTTGAGGAGAGGGTTGGAAGGAAATACTGCCCCCTTGCTGGAAAAAAAAGAAGGAGAATATTTCAGCTCAATGCTTTTTAACTAGCAATGGGTTAGCAATCAGAAATAAAAGCATACATTTTTCATGACCCTCAAATTCAGTTATGGGACATCAAATCGGCCATGGCCCAAAGTTTCCACCACTTATTTAGGCTGAATGTAAATGATTTACCTATGGTACAACAAAACATACATGCCCTACAATCAATGCATGAAATAAAACAAATTAAATAATTGTATTTCTTGATTGTGGTGGCTACCCATTCAGTACATCAGATAATTCATTAATTTTCTACCAACTGCATTTTATCTATAAAGTGATTTGTCTTCCCTGTAGAAAGGGCAGGTTGACAAAATCCCAGCTATTTGTTTCTGAGGATGATGGAAAGAAAAGAATTAATAACTTACCGAGAACTCATTGATTTGAGATACAAGGTCAGTCATTTGGTCCCGGGTTTGACGTAGCTCCAGAGATTCTTTCTGTAGCTTATCCTTCATTTTATTCAGTGTCTTCATCATTTCATCTTTCTCTTGGGTCTTTATCTCACATTCTCTTTCCTTCTTCTCTAGCCTACTCATCAACTCAGCATGTTCTGGGCAGAGAAGTAGGGGAAAACATGATGTATGGTTTCAGACATTTGAGATTTGAGATATCTCTCAAAGGGTTTATCGATAATATAGACTACTACAAACTACATGTTGGTGGAGGGAATATGCACAAATGTATTGATGATTTACCATATATATTCATGTATAAATTGACCTAACATATAAGTCGAGGAGAAGTTTTCAGGCCGAAATTACAGAATTTGATATGAACCGTGCATGAGTTGAGGATCATCCCATGGAGAAAAGAAGCACCCGTGCTGTCTCATGGGTGGAGCCATCCCGTCCATTACTACCATTTCCCTGTCCAGGCATTCAAAAAGTCCAAAGACTGCAAATGGTGGAGACAGAAAAAGGGATCTTTGTGTCTTTTAAGCTTTCCAGGATGAACTAAGACACAGTACTCATACTGACCCATGGATAAGTCTACCCAGGTTTTTGGGGTTTTTTTGAGGTGGTGGGGAGGTTGATTTTTTGACTAAATTTTATAAATTTATACATGAACATATAGAGTATATTTTAAAAAATCAGTAAATATATCTTGAAAAATGTAGTGTCTTAAAATGAATCTGAAAACTAATCTGTATTTAAAAGCTAGGTCACCAAGAAGTAAGTATCCTACAGCCACCATTCTCTACCTACATAATGTTAATAATAGCAACCGATATAATAATACTAACAAATAGTAATCTCTGTCTTCCCAGAACTACCTGGTGCTACATGATTAAAACATGCTTGTATTTTGTTCCTTTGTAACTCATGATGGTTGCATACCTTTTCGAAATTTCTCTGCCTGATCTCGCCACTGTTTCACTTCATTCTCATTTACCAACCTGAATGAAGATAAAGCAAAAGATCCATTCCAAAGTAATTACACACACAAAAATTCATAAGAGAACAAAAGGTAGCTAACTTCTGCTGCAATTGTCTACATGATTATTAGCTTACTAATGGATGCCACATATAAGGTATGAATTTAATGCTGATTGTACTAGATAGAAATTTGGTTCTTCCCCTTAAACTAAGTTTTTGTCTATGCAGTTGAAATCGCACATGTATTAAGAGGCCTTCATGTTATATATATTGCATGAATGATTGACAGTTGTCATGTTTCTTACATCTTAATGATGTTCTTGACATTGAAGTTCTCTAGAGGAGCTATATCTGGATCATCCCCTCGCTCATCCTGAAGAACAATTTGCTGTAGTATTCTGTCTAACAGCTGCCATTTTTGAAAAGTTCCCCCATTTCGTTTATCTGCAATGATAAATGTTAATAAGAAAATTATAGAATGAATTGCCCACAAATGGCTTTGACTGTGTTTATTAAATAAGTCTGGTGTTTTTCTTTGAATGTTAACACTATCTATGTAGAAATACACTTCCCACCTTGTTTAATTTTTAAATTCTTGCCATGGAATTTCTGAAACCATTTCTAATTTGTATCTTCTACATCTTACCAGCCATTGGAATATTATTCGATGTGATGATTTTGGAGCTTGGGATGCAAAGAGAAGAAACCGTGAAGCATATCAGTTACTAACTAGGAAATAATTCACTAAATTTAATGTATTTTCTAATAGTAAAAGTATCACATTGTGTTTGAAATCTAATTTGGGATAACTTTATTCCCTTTGCAGTGCCAGCTGAGTATTCCTTATCTGAAATGCTTGGGACCAGAAATGTTTTAGATTTTTTCCCCACATTTTGGAATACCTGTAATTGTATATATGTAAACAATGAGATATCTTGGGGACTGCCTGCATGGCAAGGGATGGGCTGAATCGCCATTGGGGTTTCTTCCAACTCTTTAATTCCATGGCTGAACATTTCTATTTGGTAATGATCTTATAAGAAGCCCTTGCTTTGCACTAATGGCAGGAAGTAAACTATCTATTGCTGGTAGTAGATTATTAAATCAAATGGCTTAAAATTCCTGAATGTCTCATATTGCACAAAGAGTATCTGCTAATTTGATTTTCTGATTAGAGCTTGAGAACCTTCTCTTTCTTCATTCCTATGAGGTGCCAGAAAAAATGAAATACTTTCTGTGATGTTTTCCTTTAATGGTAACAAGAGTTTTCATTTGACTTTCAGTTTAAAGAAAAAACAACAAAGCCCTTATCCTGTGTCAATTAACAGTAGCACCTGTTTCTAAGACAACACAAATATTGTTATATTGTTGAAAGCTTTCTTGGCCGGAATAACTGGGTTGTTGTGAGTTTTCCAGGCTGTACGGCCATATTCCAGAAGCATTCTCTTGAACTCACAACCTCTGAGGCTGCCTGCCATAGATGCAGGTGATATATCAAGAGAGAATGCTTCTGGAACATGGCCATACAGCCCAGAAAACTCACAACAACCCACAAATATTGTTCTCTTTTTTGTATCTTTAAAAACAAATAATCAAGTTTCCAAAGTTGGAACACATTCCAACAATGACAATGATGACAAAAACCTTAATGTTTGGGGACATTAAATGAAAATAGGGAAAATGTGTAAAGAGAAACATTTGCCAGTTGTATGTCAGTTCAAATTCTAAGTTAAACTCAACATAAACACAACCCTAGGTATCCTGTGGTTGTGGGAAGACAGTGACTCCCATGAAAATGTTCACTGTATTGTCACAGTATACAAGTCCCCAACACCATAGAAAGTTGAAACAGAACCATTAATTTCTTCTCACTGAAATGTGGATCTGTATCTCAGATTCACTGCAAGGGTGCCGTCTTCACTTTCAAACCACCAATCAACATCAGCATATCAAAAAAATTCTACTATCTCTGATAATAGCATATATCAAAAGGAATTCAAGATGTGATTTATTATAATAATATACCTAGGTTTGATTTCCACAAACTATCCAAATTAGAGGTGTAATTTCTTATTATATGTTTATTGTTTTAGTACTCTGAATAACTTTGCATGGATTTCATTTTATTTATTTTGAAAATAACTGGTTGCCTTAGGCCCCTTCTACACTGTCATATAATTCAGATTATTTATTTATTGCTTTTCTTAATCCCTAGGGGAACTCAAAGAGGTTCACAACAAGTAACAGGTAAAATTCAATGCCTCAGAAAATATAAAGCACACTGTATCACTAAAATAGCATAAAACAATGAATTAAAACCAGGGAACTATAAACATCAGACATAGACAAACATAAAACATAGAACATTCAACATTACACCAATTATAAAAGTAGATAGTCCACATTAACTGCTTTGAACTGGATTATGTGAGTCTACACTGGCAGATAATCCTGTTCAAAGCAGATAATCTGGATTTTATATGGCAGTGTAGAAGGGGCCTTAGTGTGTACCTGATATTCAACCTAAGTACATCATAAATAATGAGCATGCATGGCAGAAAAAACCAGTAACAAACAGAATGCCAAGGGAACAGCTCTCATCACAAAATAAAAGATTAAAAGGACAGAGTGCTACACAATCTGCTTTTGAAAATTCTCACATATACCCTCCTCTACAAATTTTATAGATTTTCAAGAATGTTAGGAAAGCTGCTACTCCCACTGCTCCCAAATTTCAAACATATTTCCAACCTTGGAAACTGGGGATTTGCTTTGTAAACCCAAAAAATATGGATTTGATATTCCCCATCACCACCCCCACACACCTGGAAAACTAAAAAATAAACATAGCATTTATTTCTAAGTAACCTATGGGGAAAGATGGTACAGAAAATCTGTATGAATCAGCAAGGAGACTATGAAGTTCACCAAGTATCTAAAACCTTAAAGCGATGGCTGATCAAACCTAGATTTCTGTAACCAAGACAAGTAAGCATTTTATTGGCCATAACAGAATATTCAAGCATCCTCCCACCTGAAAAAATAGTACAGTACTCACAAGGCATTTGTAAGCAGTGCTGGAGAACAGATAGCAAATATGGATAAGCATCAGTGTGCTTCAATCTCTTCTTAATCATTTCAAACATCTGAGATGCACTCTTTGTGTCAATATGCACCTATGAGAAAAGAAAAGGCGGGGGAGCAACACAGTATAAAACATGAAATATCTCCTTGATCATACAATGTAACCTCAACCAAATCCAGAACAATATACTCAGGGTGAAGAATGGGAGATGACAAATGGAGACAGATTATTGTAGTGACAAGGAGATGCCAAATCTAAGGGTTTCCATGAGAAAAAAATATATAGGGCTAGTACACATATCCAAACTCAAGACCCACTGGTCAAATCTAGACCACCATGACTTTTTATGTTGCCTTCCAAGTTCTGTAATACAACTCCTGTATTCCTCATCATTAGACATCATGACTAGAGCAGAATCCTTATCTGAGAAGGTAATACCTTTATCCCCCCCACCCCACAAACTAAACTCTTGCAGACATTCAGCAGAACTGACAGCACTTGCATAACACAATTAGAACACAACCTTTCAAGAACAGACAGAGTGATGCCCACTGTGGCCTTTCAGGTACTTTATGGCAAGATCCCATGCCACTCTGCTTGGCTGATTTGGCTACTGAGGTGGCTAACTTATGGTAACTCCACTATCATTAAATGGCTAAATGTAATTTGTGATAAGCATATGTTCCCCACTGCAGTCACCAATCATTGCTGTACACAGTGCTTCCTCTGTGCAATAAGAACCCAGTCATTTCCTGCATTCTCTATTTTGGCAGGCTGTGACTTAGCAAACACTTTAACCAGTAATTCTAAAATCATGTTTTTAGTTTAATTAGATAATATTATGTAATCATATATTATTGAATTTTGTAGTTTATCCAACTGTTGTTCATTGATGTGAGCTGTACAGATATGAAACTATTGTAAAGTACTAACCTTCCTACAAATAAATAAAATATTCTCAAAGAACATAAATCAGAACTGCACGAAGACATAATTCATATATATACCCATCAGTTATCAAGTTATATGAATTCAAGTGACAAGGAAAAATGAATCCTTTATTCTTCTAATTACCTTGAGTTAATTCATTCTTACTTCTACTTGAGGTTAGTCTCTGTAACCTGTTTGCGACATTAGGTGATGTTATCTTTCACTTTTTATACAGTAGATTTGGAAGGGTTTGAAAAGAAAAGGATCCTAAAAAACCGATCCCCTGCACTAGATGGCCTTACTTTAAAAAATAATGCATTTGTCTAAAAGACAGGATAATATTCCAGCTATTTGGAATGTAGCAGTGCACCCGTTCATACTAAGAGCTCTAGAATCATCTAAAACGCTAAAATTATTAAGGGGTGAGGATTTTGATGTGCAGATTTGTTAAAGGGTCTTATAAAAATGGGCTGCTCTGAAAACTCAAGTGTTAATTTGGAGCAGGTGCTTTGACGAGGGCAGGGAGCTGTCCACTGGGACCCTAGAACTGATGGTGCTGAATTCAGCAACAGTTCTAAAGTTCACCTCCAATGGGTTAATTGACTGAAACTTTCATTGTGGAGCCAAGCCAATTCAAGATTGGAATAGTGCCACTGCAAACACATAGTTTCTTGGAACACCTCTTTTATTCCACAACAGACCACCTTCACACTCTTGGTAGGCAAAAAGTCCAAGTAAAACAGGGGAACTGCACTCCAGAATGTAGTTTGAATAGGAAGACAAACCAAGTAGAGTAAAAATGGATGAAAAACAATCAAATGAACCAAGCCAAAAAGCCCCTGTACCCCAAGAGGTCCAAGCATCCCAGTGGCCTTTACACACTAAACAGCTATGATTTTACTTGAACTGTCATGACAAAATCCTACGGAAATCTGGGGATTGGCAGTTTATGTGTGTGTATGTTCAAGTCAGCTGTCAACATATGATGATACAATGAATTTTATGGGGGTCTTTTTTGAGAAAATGTGGGTTTTTTCCTCTGAAACACAGTCTACAGCATCCTGTATGTATTGATTGCCTGGACCTGCTTAGCTTTCAAGATTAGACATGATCTGGTGACTTCAGGGTATTTGAATATAGAGAGAGGTATTCAGACTTCTCAGCCAGAAAGCTCTAATGCTTCACCAAACCCTGTGATTCTATAGGACGTTGTCATGGAGGTTAGAGTAGAAAAATAGTACTAGAATGGCATAGTTTGAAAGAGCCCCAGGAGCCCTGCTAAATACTTCAAACAGCCAAGGAAGCAACAAAGGGATTATCAGACTAGACAAAGTCATTGTAAGTCATCCATGACATGAAAATCCACTGGAGAGACTGAATCTTCATATTGCCAGACTTCACCTAATGCTATGATTTAATCCAGACCGCTGTTCCTTCTTATACTGTGTAGTCTGTAAATTAACAGTGTCTCATTTCTGTTTAGTTCCACATACAAAAAGCATAAAGATTTATATGAAGAAGCCAAAACACAAGTTTTTAGCAACAGTAACATTTCTACTCACAACTTCAAATCTCTTTGCAAGTTCCAAATCATCTTCATTTCTGACCATCTCAAAGAAATCTAAGTGTCTAGAAGAAAGAGAAAAAATAAATAAATACTCATAATCCATCCCTTGATCACAGTGGTGCAAATTGAACAGGAGAGGAAAATCTATATTTACAGTGGCGTGAAAAGATTAAAAAATAATTTGATACTATAACTCTATATTAGATTTTTTTGCAACTATAGCAGTAGTTCCCAACCTGTGGTCTGCGGACCACCAGTGGTCCCCAAGAGCTAAAATATGAACCACGGCCTCACCATTACTACACTGTTGCAGGTAGAGTGACTGGTCTCATGAAGCCCTCTTAATAGTGCCAAGGCAACTGGGATGAAGGGAGGGGAGAGGCTGACTATAATCAGCTACAGATTATTAAATATGGTTTTCAATGTGCTAGCAAATGGTGACTACTGGATGGCATATGTTCTGTATCAGAAACTAGAACTGATGTGATCTATCCAATGCAATTTTCTGGAATCAGCACCCCTTTGGTACTAATGTTGGAGAGTGGTCCCTGGTCAAAAAAAGAGGTTGAAAACCACTGGACTATAGCCTTCTCACAATATGAATATTCTAAGTGTTTCTTGGACTTTAATACAATACAGATAATGTATTGCAAGAGTAGAATTATCATGTCAGCTTGAAACAGAACCTCCTGAGAAAACATTAGAAAGAACAGATGATGATAAATTAAGGAAGACAGTCTCAGGTAGTTTAAAAGGAGATATGGCCAGGTTAGTGCCCTTCAGTTATTATGGAAACAAAGATGTTGACCCCATTTATCTTTCGCCATAGTCATAAATAGTGAAAGTGTAAACCAAAATATCTGGAAGGCATCAGGTTGCCTTCCCAGCAGTATAGGTTTGTTGGGATTGCATACAGTAACATAAAATACCCAAGACATGCAAAGCAGACCTCACACATCTTCAGAATATTTGACCTTCACTCACATTTATGTAACATATTGCTACAATTGCTACAATATCACAGCAATGTAGGTTGTGCTAGCCATAGAACCACAGTAGTGTGTTAGCTGTTACACATGAATTACCTCAGGTAGAAATTACATTTCTCAAAACATGTCCAAATTTGTTAATCTGTTCCAAGCAAAACCATAGGGCTATACCTGTCTCTAAATATTAGTGCACAGCTGTCTCACTTTATGTGTATTCCCCAAACAGAATATAGCTTACCTGTCCAGAGTTGCATTTTCATGTCCTCTGAGCTTATCAATAACAGGCTGGATTCCCAACATTAGAAATTCATATCGTAGGTGCAATCGAAATTCCAAATTATCCTGAGAAAAATTAAAAAATAGATTAAAATTTACTGATGGACCAAGATCAAATAGTAAACAAATGCAATATAAGGCAGTTGATGCTATTATTCATATTGAGAGCTCAGCTATCTATGCTGAAATTGCTGGAATTAAGGCAAAGACAAATTACAACAGTGGTTCTCAACTTGTGGGCCCCCAGATTTTTTTAGCCTTCAACTCCCAGAAATCCTTACAGCTGGTAAACTGGCTGGGGTTACTGGGAGTTGTAGGCCAAAACACCTGGGGACCCACAGGTTGAGAACCACTGGATTAGAATATTTATGACAAAGAGTTAAGTGACAATGAGGGTAGATAACCGTGGACCTTCAGATACTAGCCTCCACTGGGGATGGTGAGAGGTGCAATCCAGACTAAGTTGCCTTGTATTTGTTAGTAGGATATTGCATATTCAGCAACTACATAGTGCACTACAGCTGGTGATTTCTGTCAGTATAAGTGAAAGAGGAAGAGTCAGCACTAATGAACCCAGCCAGAAAGAAACTTACCTCACCAGTCCCTGCATTCAAAACAGCATTAATAAAGGACATGATGGCTGTTTTGAGATTCACTTCATCTCTATATTGCCCCATGCTTCGGTCTAGTTCATTGAGTAATGACTGTAAAGCAAAAGGAGTGAGAAAGTAAAGCATGCAATCATTGTAATATTGTAATTTCTCTATAATCTCCTATCCTGCAATACATACAAAGAAATTCTCAGTTGCAATGTTTTGGCCAAGCGGCAAGAAAGATTTGTGAACCAAGGAAGGTGATTTCTGCTTGACTATACAACAGATACTTTATCTGAATTGTATTTCTTTATTAAAAGCAATACAGTATCTTTTCACACTCTGCTGTCAAATGTGGTTAATCTAAAATTGGAACAAAACGGTCTTTGAATCCCAAATAAGGTGCATTCATTTGCATAATGTTATCTCTGACAGAAGCCAATAAATCATTGGTAAGATTATCCACAATACAATGCTAAACTGTAGTGAGCTATAAATGGAAATAAAAGGAGGTGAATGTCACATCAACACTAAATCAGAGTTTAACACGTAAAAACCAAAAAAGCCAGCAATTGTCGCCTAATCTGGTATTTGAAGAACAGACTTCTCACTCCTACTGCATGCTCTGAAACATTATACATATGAGGTATCTGACTTTGTTGTTCAGCATTCCATGAATCAGGTGAGAAAACTGGCAGCTAAGACAAGGTAGCCAATAACTTAGATGAGAAAAAACAAACAAAACCCCTCCACTTGTATTTGTTTTTGGTTTTTTTGCTTTGCACTATTCTTTAAAATAATTTAATGGAGACCCTTTCTAACATCAATTCTGGAAGTGAAGTGTATACTATGGTTTTATTTTACTATCATCTCCACCAAGACATGTAAAAATTCACACACACTACTGTGTACATGTGTACACTGATAAAAACAATGACAAATCAGGATACAAAACAGCTTGATGCATCCAGTCATTACAAAAATAGCCTTTTTTGTTTGAAGGTTTAGCAATTGATGTACACAAATCAGGAGTGTAGCAACGGCAAAGGGAGACAATGAAACAAAATAAAATGTAAACTACAGAAAAACAGAACAGAGCTTCTTAAACTGTTTCCAGGCAGTTTCCAATTTTTATGTGATGCCAGGTATATAGGTATATCAAATAAGTATACAAATAAAACTTTACTGATAATTAATCAGCATTTGCAAGGTAAAGGTAAAGGTTTTCCCCTGACATTAAGTCCAGTCGTGTCCGACTCTGGGGTGTGGTGTTCATCTCCATTTCTAAGCTGAAGAGCCAGCATTGTCCGTAGACACCTCCAAGGTCATGTGGCCAGCATGACTGCATGGAGTGCTGTTACCTTCCTGCCTGAGCAGTACCTATAGATCTACTCACATTTGCATGTTTTCAAACTGCTAGGTTGGCAGAAGCTGGGGCTGACAGCGGAAGCTTACGCCGCTCCCCGGATTCGACCCTGCCACCTGTCGGTCAACAAGTTTAGCAGCTCAGTGCTTTAACCCACTGTGCCACCGGGGTTTTTTGTTTTTTGTGGAGTAAAGCCGAAGCATTTTCTGCAGAGTCCACTGTAAACGCTGAATGATGTCACTAACAAATTTGTGTAAAAGAGTGGAAATCAGAAGAATTTTTACAGCTGCCAGTTTTTTCATGACCCCAGCAGTGAGTTCAGGGAGTAGGGAGCCACAGTTTAAGAAGCAGTGAAAGGGAACAAAATTTTAAAATGAAACTCCAAACAATGGTACCTCTCTAGGGACTTCATCACATGATACATTTTCAGCTTCCTAGGACACTTTTGTTGCAGTTGAGCCACGGAGACCCACACTGCCCATCAGATGACACAAACTCACTTCCGGCATGGCTCCATGGCCCAACCACATCTTAGGGCACTGCACCAGCAACACAGGAGTCTTCCCATGCTCCCTTAGGAACAATTGGGCTAGCGTGGGGGAAGCGGTGCAGTGCTGCTTCCCCATGTATAACGGTGAAATATTGCTGGTGAATCAGGGCACCAAATGTCGGAATTGCCCTGCTGCCTCACTGATTTGCTACGGAGGCCGGCAAATTGGCACGGAGGACCTCATCAATATGAGGTCATTTCAAATCCTTAAATTCAGAGGAGAAAATGAAAGCAAACTCCAGAAGCCTCCCTGGCACTAGAAGCTAGAAGCATCAGGTGTATCTGACAAATTATGCTCTCTGTGGTGAGCCAGAAAGTCAAGCCACAATAAGATTAACCATTCTCTCAATATGTTTGCTGAATGGTGCTTGGCTAGTATATTTTAAATTCTGCTCTAATATACAGTGTCAAGCTGTTCTCAATACATTCATCACACTTGAAACATGCTACATTTCACCTCCATGCTACAGCAGGTTTTCATCTCTAGCTCTGTTCCAAGAACTGTGAATGTTCCTTCTATATTCCTCAGTAGGCAACCAAGAACAAGTGTGAGCTTTGTGTTCACTGCCATCTGAAACTACCTCAGACCCAAGTTACTTGGTCCTCAACCAAATTCAATATTTTCTCATTTGCTACAACCATTCCTTCAAGCTGTCATTCCCTTCTCTCCCCCTTTTAAACTACTTCAAAACACTGCTATTCAAATAAAAGTGACTGATTCAGCAAGATGGGGAAACAGCAAGAAAGAAAGATTCCAAAGGTCAATTCTGTTCCTGTTGAATCTTTCGCCATTTTGAAAAACATGCTAATACAAAAAACACCTGTCACTCTGAAAAGATCTAAGCATGAAGAAGAGAACACTGTTATACTTAATTGTTTTCTTGAAATTACTGGAAGACATATATCAATTCATTACAACTACAAAAGAAAAATAACATGGACATTCTCCTTGTAAAATGTATATGAACAGTGAGAAATTACAAATCTGGAAGTTAAGACAAGTAATATGTAGTATGTGATGTCACGAAGATGAATCATATTCTGATAGCAATTACAGTTTGTGATATTCTTTTTTAAAGCCTTATTAAGTCAGGCAGATATTAATCTCCAGATGTTTTGGACCTTAACTCCTATACTCCTTCCCTCACCAGCAACCCTGCCTATGGATTATAAATGAAAAATATCTGAAGGCCATATCTGTCCAGACCCATATTAAATATTAATATTATGTAATACAACATAATATAATATTAGTAAACACAGTATCATAGAGTAGTTTAGGTCTAGAATGTATATCCTTGCAACTGAAATTTAGAGAGCTGATTTCTGGTAAGCAGTGGAATTAATTGTTTTCCATGCTTCATATCCCTTTACTTTTATTTTTATTCAGCTATCCAGGAATAGCACTTAGTCCAGGGTACTATGGAACAGTGGCAACTCCAGATTTCTGAGGGATGCAAGGCAACACACATTCTTTGTCAAAGAGTCCTCCTTCTCAGCACCACAATGACCAATGCCACCTGCTAGACTGTGGGCCATTACTAGGCACATTACCATAACTACAAGTGACATATGGAACACACAAATGATGACCAGGCCACTAACATATTGGCACAAGCAAGAAAAGGGGAAAAGCTTTAGAAACCTGTGATAAACAGTTACAAAAAGTCATTGTTCATGAAGAAATTAGGTTGAAATGCCACTCAAATTTCTCTAACATCCCCTCAAAGGGATATAATTTTGAAAGACCATTTGCACACAGCTGTAGTCATTGACAAGTGCTGCAGAACCCTATATTTTAAAAGCAGCTTAGTAAAAGTATCAAATGTACAATGCAATTAAGCTTCACAATGTTCTTCTTTTTTTGACCTGCATATATAAGAACAGAATTGGAAAGGGTCACTTTGGGAATTATAGCTCTTATAACCCCTTAGAGAAGACAATTATGCTGGGGAAAGTGGAAGGCAAAAGGAAGAGGGGCCGACCAAGGGCAAGATGGATGGATGGCATCCTTGAAGTGACTGGACTGACCTTGAGGGAGCTGGGGGTGGTAACGGCCGACAGGGAGCTCTGGCGTGGGCTGGTCCATGAGGTCACGAAGAGTCGGAGATGACTGAACGAATGAACAACAACAACAACCCCTTACGGCAGTGGTTCTTAATCTGTGAGTCCCTAGATGTTTTGGCCTTCAACTTCCAGAAATCCGAACACTTGGTAAACTGGCTGGGATTTCTGAGAGTTGTAGGTTAAAAGACCTGGGGACCCACAGGTTGAGAACCATTGCCTTATGAAGTCATGCTGGCTCGGAGGATTCTGGGTGTTATAGTCCAAAATATAGTCCATTTCTCAACTATTTATAAGATCGTACTTTTAAATTATCTTGTGGAGCAATCTTATCTTTTAAAAAAAGAGTAACTGATAAATTTGCTGTGCTCTTCTGAATTTGGAATGGGACATCTCACTAGGAAACTTACTGTACTTTAGACTTACAGTACACTCTGACAATAACGATAAAGATATGAATATGCTTGAAGAGAAGAATCCACCCAGACTTGCATTGGATCCTCACATCTGTTATGTTTAACTTCAGCATTTCTGATGGCAACAGTGAAAGTCAGACAGAAAGGTTGGAGGCATCCAAGTTACTCTAGATGAGTTAAACTTTAATGTCTTGGAAGGAACATTGTGGAAAAGACAATTCTGGCACGTTAACAAAAACATTTGGACACAAACATCAGAAAAGAAAACTGAAACAGGAGCATGTCTTTACTGTTCTTAAGAAAACAGGGAGGCAAACATTCATCTTTAATTTTCTATTATACAAAAACATTCTGACAGCGATGAAATAATACATTTGTTCCCCCGAGCCTCATAAAAGCTGCTGCAGAAAATTAACAACAGCATATCAAAAACCTAGTTGTATATGCTACCAACTGTGCTACTCGTTGCTGCATGCTTTCAACATTATCTGACTTACGGCAACCCACAGGTAAACCTATAGGGTTCACTTGGAGAAATTTATTCAGAAGGGGCTTGTATTTGCCTTCCTCTGAGACTGAGATAATGTGACTTGTGGGTTTCCATGGCCAAGAAGGCATTTAAACCTTGACCTCCAAAGTTATAGTCCAACACTCAAACCAGAACACCATGCTGGTTCTCTGTGCTACTCTATTGGTTAAAAAAAAATCCCCATTTTCCAAGTTACTTTCACTCAGATTTTTATACTTTCAAAGCACACAAAGAAGCAATGATGTAGGAAAAAAGTACTGTACTTGAGTTAGGTTATGCTTCCAGCATAGGGATTTATTCATTATAGCAATCCAGTCCAATTGGGGCAAAAGGATTACAATCTAATTGAATGTTCCTGGAGTTAAGCATTATCAAAAAATCCCTGACAAGGAGACAAGGTCATCCTGAGCCACCTTCATTCCAAAACAAAGGCAAGCTTTAGAAACGTTGCTTTATAATCACAAGGAAACAATTTACATTTTAAGTTTTATATTTCTCCCACCTACCCATACTGTAAACCCAACCATGTGCATAAATTGTCTCCTGAACTCCTCATTAGGGCACTGCACTTCTAGTCCCTGTCTCTATTATATATTCTAACTTCAAAACATTAGTGTTCTCCTGTTGCATCAGGTGAACGTTTTATTTATGAAATATTTTGAATGAGGTTTATTATTTATTTATTTATTTATTACATACATTTCTATCCCGCCCTTCTCCCCACAGGGGGACTCAGGGTGGCCTTACATAAGCATCCGATGATGCTATCAACACATACACCAATAAATTACAATTAAAACAATAAAAACCATTTAAAACATTATACAGATTCAACAAATAAATTCATTAACAATACATTAATGTGCCAATACACCAAAGCCAAGCCAGGAGAATCCAATGTCACAATGTCCAAATTTTCTTTCATATTGGCACTCCTCTCTAGTCAAATGCCTGGTTCCAGAGCCAGGTCTTCAGTTGTCTTCTAAAGGACAGGAGAGAGGTGGCCAACCTGATGTCCTTAGGGAGGGAGTTCCACACATGGGGGGCCCACTACCGAGAAGGCCCTGTCTCTCATCCCCACCAACCATGTTTGCAAAGGTGGTGGGATTGAGAGCAGGGCCTCTCCTGATTATCTTAATCTTCATGATGGTTCATAGCATGAGATACATTTGGACAGGTAATCTGGGCCAGAACTGTTCACGGCTTTAAAGGTTAAAACCAGCACTTTGAATTCTGCTTGGAAGTTGATTGGCAGCCAGTGGAGCTGGCATAACAGAGGAGTAGTACGCTCCCTTTACGCCGCTCCAGTTAACAACATGGCTGCTGACCGTTGGACTAATTGAAGCTTCCAAGAGGTTTTCAAAGGCAGCCCCACGTAGAGAGCATTGTTAGTAATCAATTCGGAATGTAACCAGAGCGTGGACCACCGTGGCCAAGTCAGACTTCCCAAGGAATGGGTTTCCCTTTGATAACAAATTTTGTCAAAATGCCATATGCATTAAAAGCATCTAGAATTTATTTTTATTTCTCACTGGCAAATTTTGAGTGAAATTTCATGCAGGTTTCACTCAGAATTTTTTTTATAAAATATATTATTATTATTATTATTATTATTATTATTATTATTATTATTATTATTTACTGTATTTGTATACCGCCTTTCTCAGCCTGTCGGCGACTCAAGGCGGTTTCCAACAAAACTATAAAATATATGATATTCGATCTCCATTGCCCAATTATCCATAGTTTGAATTTTCATTTTTCTTAGTGTTACTCATTCCTAAAATTCAAAGCATCCCAGGAACTCTCTCTCTAAGGCACAGAGACCACACATATGCAGCTGAAATAATACTTAATTTGTGAACGTTGCATGAAACATAGGAGACCTTGTGATATTCTGCCTACAAAATGTCCATACAAGCTCCCTCAACCAGAAATGCGAGATTACTAACAGAACATATGACTGCAAATCTGTAAAGGCTCATTTATATTGAATTTGATTTAATCATTTAATATTTCTTGTCTTGTGCTTTCTGCTTATGCATGCATGCATGTATATACAAATACATGGCATGCAAACTTTCTTATTATGGTATTAAATGCTATTTCTGTTACCTTTACATCATGCTTCTCCTCAAGAATTTCTTCTCAGAGAAGCAGAGTCCATGAGGATTTCAAAGTTAAAGCTATCATGATAAATAGATTTCAGAAATGTACAGAATAAACTGACAAAATAACATTAGATTCTCTACTTTTCATAAATTGATATTTATGATAGATAGTACAGTATAGTAGAGATATTAAAAGGTATCATTTCCATTTTCAATTATCCTGATGTAATTCTTGATCAAGGTACTGATTTACAACACACTGAGATGAAAATTCTGTTGTTAGTCTTAACTCCACTAAACCACTGGGATTTACCTATGCGTTGAATCATTATTCAACACTAAATGGGACTAACCAATAATCTTGGATTGTGAAGGAGCTGAAGTTACTATGAGTGACAATCATAATCCCAGTTCCTCATAAATATAATTTCTTTCTTTCTTGAACTTGTTAAAATGAGGGAATTAAGAATGGCCTTCACTTGGATTTTGTCACTGAACATCTTGGTAGAACATAGTGGGAACCATAGTATTTAATCTTTGTTTTCACAATGTCACACTGCAAGATAACTGATTTAACAAACTTGACAGAAATCCCTGCACATTTTACAATGCCACAAATGAATAGGTCAGAATATAATCCTGCCTGCATTGATGACTTGGATAAGAACATACAGTTTTAGAGGCTATACAAATATATACGAAACTACATTTAGTATCATCTGGTCAGATTTTCCTTGTTACTCTGTAAAGCAAACAAATTTGTTTGGTAATATATCCTTAGAATGGCATATAACTTCATGTCATTGAATAGCCAGTGACTGAAATTCAGGACTCTAGAACCTTTGTTTGAAGCAATAATTTATTCTGCAAGAGATTGTTGCAAGGTTGCCTGAGGTGAATAACCCTTTGTTACTTATGAACCCAAAAGTTTATGTAATCCAAAACACAACACTGTGTTTCTAAGGATATGCAATTCAGTGTCAAACATCTGTCTCTAATTTACCAGAGAAGGATTAACCTGAAATAAAATCTTATCAAATGAGCATCTTGCATTCTATATTTGTGAGATTGTGTGTTCTTGCATACTGGGAAGAATCCAAGGAAATTGTAAATTTCACATCTTAACATTTTTCCTAAACGAGGAAAAAACTGAGGAATTCAATTGGTTTTTCAAGCCTTGAACGGAGTCTGTGAAACTCAAATTTCAGACATATTATGGGATGGCATTACTCACTGAAAAAAGGCAGAAAGGTTTCATAAAGTTGAGAACAGCAGGGAAAGAAGAAGACTACTGTACAAGGATCTTGATTCAGTGAAGAAAGCCATAGCCCAAGTGTATAAGCCTTGAGTTAGTAAACAGAGGACTCTATTTTATAGGGCCACCAGATGTCAATGCTGGTGTGATGGCTTATTACAACAACACCTCAAGAACTCTGAAACTTAATATGATGAATCATTTAGATGAAATTTTGCCTCCATATGAAATTATCCACACATCAGAATTAATTGCAACGAACAAGATGACTCATGTAGCCTTTGTTTCTCCCTTGCTGACCAGTTGCCTTGCTAGAGATGCCTCCATGAACACTTCTTCCTCTTGCTCAAATCCATCCTTTCAAGTCCTGTTTTGTGAAGAATAGCTTAAGTCTTTGTCTATACTGAATTTAAGTTATCAACTATGCTTTGGTTAAAACTGCCTTTTGTTCGGTTGCTCTAAGTAGTACCAATTAGGTTACTTATTTGAGAAATACCAATTCATGAACCGTAGTTATTATTAGAACTACTTGTAATAACAACACTAAGAATATGTAGATGAACTAATGTATGACCAAGAGTGTATGAAGTAGTCATTTGATGTAACAAAATTGTAGGGTACAACTTGTACACAATTTGTATACAATGATACAAACATTTGAAACATGACATGCCTAAAATACCCGTATAGCAGTAAAGTTTATTTTCATCGTGTTTACTTATGATTTCACACTCTACTTTGATTTTTCCATTTGTAATATATGTATATAATATATACTCAGCTGGAATACAGTATCTCTCTTTACATATGTGAAAGAGCACAGCACAAAATGGGTGCAACAATGTCTTTCTTCAGTTGACTATTGTTCGTTCGATCTTATAAACAGAAGGGGAAAAAAAGGAAAGAGAACCCATTCTAAAACATGTAGCTTAGGAACTGTTTGCATATGATGATTTTACCTGGAATCTTGTCCTCTCTGCCGCATAGACTTGGTAGTGAAGCATGGCCTGCAGAACTTTTTTGTGACCTCCTGGCACTAAGCAAACAGCCCCAAGGATTTCCAGTACAGCAATCTTGGTTTTGATGTTTTCAGTCCGTAAACTCTGAGAGATTATATTAATGCTTTCTGGGTGGGCCAGGACATGTGCCCGTCCCTGGGAGTTGTTCATCAGAGCCTTTATGCACCCTATAACGGATGTGTGTATGCGGCTCTCTGAGGTCTCATAGTCCATACTCTTCAGAAAATTCAGCAAGCAGGTCAGACCATCCAGCTCAATGAATCTTGTGACAAACCTGAAAAGAGAGAAAAGTAGAACTTAAGGCCAGGGCATCTTGTGTAGGAGGCAATGTGACAAATAAGTGTTTTCCATGCTATAGTACTTTAAAAATAAACCTAGGGGAACCTTAAGGGACCATATGTGTAGCTGGACATTGTTGCAGGGATTTAATCAATACAGCCCACATGTATTCTGCATATACATCTTCTGATAGAAGCAAGTGAGCAGGAGTCCATTATCAAATTTTCCAGCCACCGTCTTGAAAAAATGTATGAAATGTTCCCCAAAGAACCAAGTACTTACCTCAGTTATACAACACAGTTACTAAATGAATAAATTCAAGGGATGCTTTACGTTCTACTACTACTGGCACCAACTCTGGTTATTTTGCCTTTCTCGTAGCATCTGGATTTCTCCCATATTTTCCTCATGTATGGTATATCTGAATAGTGAAGCTTTGGGAAAATAACTAACCATTATAACACAGTGGGGCTATAAGGTAGCCAGCTGTTTTGTTAAAATATTGACTTACAACAAAAATACCATATGTAAATTGAAAACCAGGACAGGGGCTGTTTTATTATTTCTTTGTTGAGATGAAAATGACATGAATTTCCAGCATACTTTGTGTATCTCTTTTTTACTAGCAGGAAATGAAGGTTAAATGCTCTGTTGTGCTTGAAATAAATATTTCAGAAGACCATCTTGCCTTATATTTCAGAAAATGATCTCGCCAATCATTTGCAAATAATGCATTTTCTTCGAGTTACATGCATCGAAGTCTATAACACTGGTTTTGGCCAAATTATAGTTTTCCAAGCTATAGAAATTTCTGAATATTTTTCTGATCTTGGTACTATACAGGGGATATGCTGTCTCTTTCCTCCTGTCATGCCCTCTGCAGTTGCTGCAGAAGATATATCATGAGATGTGCTGTCCCCTCCATCTCTCCTGATGTGCCTGATAGGAAAGACGTAGTCGAAGAACATAGGTCATACCAGTTTTTCTCTGTCTGCATGCTCTTGTGAATACCCTACTGCTAAATAGAAGTCAGGTCAGCCCAGGAAAGTCACCGGGCAGTAGAACCACAGAATCCTAGAGTTGGAAAAGTCCACATTGGCCATCCAATCACCATGCAGGAATAAAGTACTCTCGACAGATTATCATCCAATCCCTTTTGAAAAATCCCCCCCCCCCCAAAGGAGACTTCATCACACTCTGAGGCAACAGAGTCACTGTCAAAAAGCTCTTACGATCAGAAAGTTCTTCCTAATGCTTAGGTGAAATCTCTTTTCCTGAACTATCAAATCATTGCTTAATGCCCTAGTATATAGAGCAGCAAAAAACAAGCATGCTCCATCTTCCATAAGGCATCTTTTAAAACATTTAAACATGACCATCATATCACCTCTTAACCTTCTCTTCTCCAGGCAAAACATACTGAGCTACCTCAGTTGCTCCTCACAGTGTTGGGTTTCCAGTAAATTGATACCTACCAGTATGTAAGTTTGTGTTTTATCTTGAAACACATTCATTATTTCAGTCGTGCAGCTTACAGTAGTATACAGCCCTCTGTGTAACTGAATGCAGTAAGCTTGTAGATGGAAAAAGTTATTTATTACAACTAACTCCACAACCTAGCAAAAGACCTGGGATAAACCACAGTGAAGAATTTGTGCTTGGTAACAATCAAAGTCTGGTAACTCATAGGAGGCAAGGTTTAACTCTTTTGGGAATCCAACAGCACTCTTACTTTAGAGCAAAACCAATGTGCTGATCATATTTAACTTAAGTCCCACTTATTTCAATGGCTTCACTCTAAGCAAAAATAAAAAATGAGTTAACATTTATTCTTGTGCTAAATAAAATGGATAACTGAGTTCAGAAGGGTAGAGATCGGAAAATCAACAGACTTTGGCAGTTGTGTTGTGTCTTTTTGGAGTTGTAGCATAACTAATCGGAATATTTGTAATCGTGAGATTTGGCAGCATCAAACCATGAAGCTCCCAACATCCCATTGTTTTGGCCTGCCTCTGTAACATTAGATATAAATAATACTATTTATAAGTCTTGCTTTTACTCCCACATTATATAAACAAAGCATAATACAAAGTCTGAATGTGAGATATGTACTCTTGGTTCCAAAAAGAGAAATGTAAAAGCCAATATAGAACACAGGCCAGATTTAGTGACTAACTTATCATCTCTCCTTTTCCCTCTTAGTAACTGAGTATTTTTATCCAATTGGTTTTGTCCAGAACCCAGGAAAAATCAAGACCTTACAGAGTAACAGGGGGTTCACAATGAGGTTTGGTGTCTGTCCAGGTTTGAACTGGTCTGCACAAGCAAGCTGTTAGAGTAAACATACAATGGCACAAAATGATTACACTGAAATGCACCAAATGGAAGTGATATGCTAATCCGTCCTGTGAATGACAAGATTCCTTTCCAATTTTAGCTGATATAAGCAACAAGAGAAATGTTGTTGTTTTAAAAAGTGGCTTTCCATTTCTGCTATTGTATTTTTCATCTCCAGAAAAGGCAGGTACTACATGTGAGGAATGAAATTTTAATGTATTGTCGAAGGCTTTCATGGCTGGAATCACTAGGCTCTTGTGGGTTTTTTCGGGCTATAGAGCCATGTTCTAGAGGCATTTCTCCTGACGTTTCGCCTGCATCTATGGCAAGCATCCTCAGAGGTAGTGAGGTCTGTTGGAATTAGGACAATGGGTTTATATATCTGTGGAATGGCTGGGGTGGGGCACAGAGCTCTTCTCTGCTGGAGCTAGGTGTGAATGTTTCAACTGACCACCTTCATTAGCATTTGAAGGCAAAACTTCCCTCCAGTAATATTACAAGGTAGGCAAGACAAGCCATCAGAGACCTCAATTCAGATCCTGATATCTTCATTATGCCAGCAGACAAGGGGAATGCCACAGTAATCACGCATACAGAACAATACAAGGAGAAGATCAGAAAGCTCCTGGACCCTACTATATACAAAAAACTCAAGCAAGACCCAGCTTCCAAAATAACCAGGAAAACCAACACTCTGATTAAGAACTCCTCAATCAACTTTGACATACGACAACAGCTATGTAAATCGGAAGCCCTTCCACCCAGGCTTTATGGACTCCCAAAAATCCATAAGGACTCCACCCCACTCAGACCCATCGTGAGTGCCATTGGATCCCCCACAAACGACCTAGCAAAATTTCTTGCTGCACAGTTACAAAGCCATATTGGGCTCACTACACACTACATCAAGGACTCAGCCCACTTCATAGAAAAAATCAGCAATCCCAAGCTAAATACCAATGACAAACTGATCAGCTTTGATGTGGTATCTCTATTTACCATGGTCCCGGTAGAAGACACCATGGCACTCATCAAGCAGAGGTTCCCAGAAGACATCACGGCTCTGTTTCACCATTGCCTCACCACCAGTTACTTTCAGTGGGACAATGAATTCTACGAACAGAAAGATGGAGTAGCTATGGGGAGCCCTCTCAGCCCGGTCATAGCTAACTTCTACATGGAACACTTTGAAGAACAAGCCCTGGAAACAGCAACCAAAAAGCCCACTATATGGTTCAGATATGTGGATGACACCTTCACCATTTGGAGCCATGGAGAAGAAGAACTCAACAGGTTCCTGGACCATCTTAACAGCATCCACCCAAACATCCAATTCAATGGAAAAAGAAAATGAAGGAAGACTGCCTTTTCTAGATGTCCTAGTTATCCGCAAACCAGATCAACAATTGGGTCACACCGTCTACAGAAAACCCACACACACAGATAGATATCTACATAAAAACTCCAACCATCACCCAAGTCAAAAAAGAAGCACCATTAAAGCCTTGGCAGACCGTGCAAAAAGAATCTGCGAACCCCACCTCCTCCAAGATGAACTGAACCACCTCAACTGGGCTCTCCAGGCCAATGGATACTCCACCTCAGACATCAGAAGAGCTGCAAGACCAAGAACAAGCCACGAGAGTAAAGATGAAGATCTACCCAGAGGAAAAGTGTTCCTGCCATACATCAAGGGAACCACTGACCGCATAGGGAAGCTGATGAGGAAACACAACATACAAACAATCTACAAACCCACCAAGAAAATCCAACAAATGCTACGTTCAGCAAAGGACAAGAGGGATCCTCTCACCTCTGCAGGAGTCTACCGTATACCATGCAGCTGTGGACAAGTCTACATAGGGACCACCAAACGCAGCACCCAGACATGCATCAAGGAACATGAAAGGCACTGCAGACTACTCCAACCAGAGAAGTCAGCCATAGCAGAGCACCTGATGAACCAACCTGGACACAGCATATTATTTGAGAACACAGAAATGCTGGACCACTCTCAACAACCACCATGTCAGACTACACAGAGAAGCCATTGAAATCCACAAGCATGTGAACAATTTCAACAGAAAGGAGGAGACCATGAAAATGAACAAAATCTGGCTACCAGTATTAAAAAAACTCTAAAATTACTACAGCAAAACAGGAGAGAGGAAACAACCAGGCACATCTTAACACCTCTCAACAGAACATTTTCCCAGGCTCAGCCAAGCCTTCAAATGCTAATGAAGGTGGTCAGTTGAAACATTCACACCTAGCTCCAGCAAAGAAGAGCTCTGTGCCCCACCCCAGCCATTCCACAGATATATAAACCCATTTTCCTATTTCCAACAGACCTCACTACCTCTGAGGATGCTTGCCATAGATGCAGGCGAAACGTCAGGAGAAATGCCTCTAGAACATGGCTCTATAGCCCGAAAAAACCCACAAGAACCGAATGAAATTTTATTTATTTATCGTGTCATCCACAACCAGAACATTGTATTACATTTCTAACAGAACAAAACAAACAAACAGATATAAAAAAACCCCACAAATTTTGCAAATTTGGTAGCTGATTAAATGTCCTTTGACCAGTATCTGGCCACTTGGAGTGCCTCTGGTGTTGCCGCAAGAAAACCTCATTGTGAACCCCCTGTTACTCTGTAAGGTCTTGATTTTTCCTGGGTTCTGGACAAAACCAAGGAATGAAATGCAGCTTGTACATGCAAGTGTATTTTCATTTTCACACTCAATTGCTGGTCTATATGGGTGTATATTTTAGATTCAAAATGGAAACAAACATTGATCCCTCACTCTGTTTCTCGTCTGCTGTGATCCCCTGTTCAGTAGAATGAAGTATATTTCTCTTTTTTAAAAAGTAGATAAGAAATGTAAGACTTTTTGGAGGGCATGTCACTTGCCCATGTGCAGATATCTACTATTGAATGTTCCTTCATTATTATTATTATTGAATTAAACAAATTAAGGATAATCAAGAGGACTTTAGTCTGAGTATTAGATTATTATTACTTTATTAATATTATTTTTATCCCGCTTTTCTCCCAGTATAGGGAATCCCAGTATTGGGACTGAATATAGAGACTAGAACTCATGGAAGCCACAGCTGGAGTCCTTTTTGTGCCTGTGGAAACCCACTCGATGACCTTGAGCAAGTCTCAGTCACAGAAGGCAATGGCAAAGCTCCTCTGAACAAAGCTCCTCTGAAACCCTATAACACAGTTTTTGTTAAAACAAAGATGGCTTAAAAGAATACAAGAAGAAAAGAACAATCCTGTCTATTGTGCACAGATAACCATGGTGTTTGTGAAGAGCCAAGCCTTTTCATCAGATTTATTTCAAACATATGTCTAATTAATATGTTTCTACCAGAAATGTTAGAATTATTAGAAATCCTACCAGACAAGTTAAAGACAAATTAAATCATAAATTCCCTGTCCTTAAAAAATGAAATATTTCTGAATAACAGGAAAAGTAACTTACTAGGTGCTTTTCCATTTTTTTATAAAAAGCATTTTAAATGTTAAATTTAAATTTTGCTCCTGCTCAGATTCCCATTCCCACCTAATACTCTGCCTTTTCCACAACCAACAAGAACAGCGAAACAACCTTTCCAAATTTTTGTAGCCTGAAATTTTTATAGTTAGTAGTGTTTATAGTTAGAACACATAAGGAAGATCTCACTTCCTTCCAGTCATTCCCTTCATTTCATTGTGGATTTGTCCCTAAACAAAATGATGGGGCCAGGCTGTTAGAGTTAAATTCTAACATATACTCCCAGTTTGTCATGAAGGGTAACTCCATGTGGGGCAAGGGCCTTTTTGATCCAAGAAAGCATACTGCCATGGAAAGCATTCTGAAATTTCCCCAAACATGTTCTAGATTTTTATTCCCAGGCATTTTAGCCTGTTTTTATTTTTCTTTATTTTTCTTTCTTTGGATGGAAAGTTGGGAAATATCTTAACTTTCCACTTTGCCCATCTTAGTTGTTTGTTCACTCATCTAATCCAAAGGGGCTACATGGAGGTTCAGGGAAATCATGTACAAGTTGGGTGGGGTCCATTATGCAGTCCACAAACTACAATTTTCAATCCCATTCCCAATGAAAGCATGTCTTAGCAATTAAAGCTGTGTTCTGGACACACACTGAAGGACACACACAAAAGGTCTGCTCAGAAGTTATTTCCATCCCTTTTGAAGAAGAAATCTAAAAACAGCACAAATTTTGGCTTCTCACACATCACATTAATATGAAGGAGAAGTAATAACAATTGAACCAGGCAGCTGGATACTATCTCTCCTTGACCACCCAAAGCTTCTCTATAAAGAATGGTTGTAAGATGGGGAGTTGTCAGGTTGTAGTAAAGGAAGACAGGTTGCCATCAAATCAATATGACCAGCCTTGATTTATATGGCCCTCTGGTGAGTAGGTTACCTCCATTTATGCCCTAGGTACACTTTCCCTCAGAAAATGAGAGAATAAGCCCTTAGTAAAGTGGCTGGTGACAATTCAGAAACAACTGAGGGAAAGATGTAGAGAACAATCTGAGGAAATTTGGTGAAGGTTCAGAATTCAAAGGAGCCAAAACAGGAAGCAAGGTTTAAAATGCTGGTGTCCCATGTTGGTTCTAAACTCTAGAGCAGTGGTTCTCAACCTGGGGTCCCCAGATGTTTTTGGCCTACAACTCTCAGAAATACTAGCCAATTTACCAGCTGTTAAGGTTGAGAACCACTGCTCTAGAGAGTTTCTTTTCCCTGTGACTTCTCCATACCAGTTCCTACCCCATATATCAATTGATACCTGTATCCTCACTCACTTCCCATTTAATGTAACCCTTAGACCCTGGAAAGTGTGGTCTTGGAAACAGAACAGATTCTGCAGATGTGCTTGATTTGCTATAATTACTCCAAGCACAAAATTTAGGTTTCCCCATTGCAATGTTTGGCTTTCTTTTCTGCCTTCCCTCCACATTTTTTTGGCAGTGTATACTCAAGCCAAATCATAATAAAGTCAGCAAGCTACATAAACTCCATACAAAGTTGCCAATTATTATTCAAGGATTTATAGGTGAGTGCACAGTAATATATTCAAGTTCAGAGCAGACAATGCTTGAACATGAGCATCTAGAGATTGCCATTGGAACCTCGGATTCTGCCTCCTGTGTGACTTTATGCTTTCAGACAGCTGTTATTATTAAAATACTGATGAAGAGACAACAGCAAAATTTCTGCTTCAATACCAATACAGGATTTTGAAGAGCTCCAGTTGCTCATGAAAGACAAAACTATGGGCCGCTGTAGTGCAGCCTTTCTATCAAAGAAGGGGCTGGTTTACTTATCAGGCATTGGCACATGGCCCATTTGGCATCTTGCAAACAAAGTCACTAGAAATTAGTTGAGACATGAATACTTAACTCCATTTTTGGCTTTGCTGTGGCTCAGAAAAAATAGTCCAAAATGCTGCAGCCAACATTTTTAAAAGCTAAGACTTTATGTGACAATTTGTGGATGTTGGTGCTGATACTTATTACAGTTGTTATAAACAGAGGAAATGGATGCCTCTTGTCAGAGCTTGTTTGCAGAAAAACCTACCGTAGAGATTTCCCATACACCACTCCCACAGACTTGTCTTATTAAAAGAGTCATTTCTGGCATGATGAAATAGGTGCTGGAAAGCTATAGAGGTATGCATGCTTATTATAATGTGTACCACAGAAGAGTTTTCCCCCTTATCTCTTAGTTTTAAAGGTTACTATCAGGAATATTGTGTTGATTAATGGGTAAGCAGTTGCAATCAGACAGCAAAGACATAGCTGCACATTTTTTTTTAAAAAAACTATTATATGTTTTCCCTATCAGGATGCATTTATTTCCTAATTATTTTTCCCTCCATTGTTCCAGATATTTGGGGGTGCCCATCAGGTTCACTGTTGTTACATCTTATACAATGCTTAATGACAGTATGGGAAGGGTGATTTTTCAGACTGGGGAAGTCTGAAAAATCCTTTTTTTCTGTACTGTCTTCCAACAACTGTCTTCCATGTTGCATTGGAGCTTGTAAAAAGCTTCCATTAGTATCATAAAGGCAAGAGTAATTTTTATGTAAGTGTGTAGTGTTTCTGCTGTCCTGAGCAAGGACACCTCCAAAAAATGTGCCCCACATTGGTTTACCCTCAGTTGACACTAACTGAAGCTTTGACCCAAATACCACTGCCATGGATATGTACGGGAGGGGGGGGGGGTCTTATCTTAAGTCATTGACTGAAAGTGAGAACATGATAAAAGTTAGTGAACCAGATGAAGAGCTCCCATAGGGTGGATGTGGCTTGTAGGCTGAAGGCTCCACATATTTAGCCAAGCAGGAAAATGGGCACAGAGGTTCTAATAGCTACAGAATGGCAGAAGTATCTACTTATGTGCATCTTGTGAAACTCTAGTATGAAAGGCAGCAGATTTAGAATTCCATTTACATGTCTCCTGGTTTCCCTTTAAGATGGGTGATGAAAGAACAGTACAAGGACCACATGTGATTTTTATAGACATCTAGGACCCCCTAACCTGACCACATTGTTTTAAAAAAATGAAGTTTCTATTTGCTTCCTGACTCAATACAGTGTTTTCCTGGGTATGAAATAGTCCTGGGAGACAAAGGAAAAGGGAGGAAAAACCAACAAATGTGTTTTGGGTAGAAAAAAAAATGAAAAGAATTCTGAGAATTGGAAAAGATGCAGCACATAATGAGGGATATGGTAGGAGAGATGCAATTGGGAGGAATTATCTTGTGTGCATACTAGTCATGCATCTCATCAAACCCTGGGCATTGTCCACCCCTGCATTCAGAGCTTTGTACTACAGATTGCCTCAGAAAGGTTATCTAAAAAAAAGTTTTTTTCCCATAATCATGGTAACTATTTTCTTTGTTTCCATAAAAGCATATATATATATATATATACACACACACACACACACACACACACACACACACACACACACACTGTACACCTCTACATTTGCTCCTTTCGTGACACAAAGGAAAGTGTAATGTGGAGAGAGAAGATAGTTAATTACCTCATGGGCTGAGTCCGCAGAGCTGTCTTCAAGTCTTCAACTATTTTATTCCTCATTTCTGTTTCTTCTTCATCAAAAGCATACACTGTCTGCATCTGGTTGGGCAAGGCAAAGAAACAGTTATCCTATCCACTGAATCAAAAATCAGAGAAATTTGAGGTTGCTGAACAACTCAGGATTTATCAACAAGAGGTTCTTGGAAAATTAAACTGAAGCCGCTACCTGGCAACACCTCTAACAATGAAGCTGGGAAAAACAACATTCTTTCTATGGTTTAAATCCTAAATGCAATCACTAGATAGGAAGTCCCATCAGACATAGTAGTATTTACCACATATATTCATGTATAAGTTAAGAGCAGGTTTTGGAGCAAAAATTATGAATTTTGGTATGACCTGTGGTATGATTCTTTTTTTTTTCTCCTTTAAAAAATGAATAGAGGAACCATGCATTACTTGGGAAAAAGAGAAGTAAGGGGTCTGTTATTTGAGTAATTAGACTCTAGGGTTGTAAATTGCATTATAGATTTTAAAATGTCTACTTCTACATAAATACAGAAATATAAATGAGGAAATGATGAGAATGCTGCCTGAAAAATGGCAAAGGAAGAAGAGCAAGGCAAGTATTGGGCTTTTGTTAAGGACTCGGGACAAAGGCAATGACAAGAGGAAGTGAGAAACAGTTCCATTCCATTAGCACCCACTTGGCAAAACTAGAGAAGAAAAGCAGCCCTGCTTCATTCTCTGCTTCCTCGCCATTTTTAATGCCCTAGAGATGTTCAGTAGCAAAGTGGGGGAGCCCTAGGAATGTGGCGTATCTGCCATTTTGGATGCTTGAAGTGGAGTGGAATGGCAATACCATTTTTAATATGGACCTACCGCATAAGCCTCTCTGCAAAGAGATTGTGATTGCTATTTTTAACAAAGGCAGACAAGCTTTTTACCCTTTGCACTGGGTACCTGTTCCCACACTGACCCATGTACAGTATAAGTTGACATAGATTTTTGAACCAATCTTTTGTCATTTTTTTTCAACTTATTCATAAGTATATATAATATGTCAGAGTAAAAATGTTTAACTTCCCCTGATTTTCTCTTTGGTCGATCTGAAATAACTGAACCACAAAAACAAGCCTGAAGAAATACCTGCAGCCCTCCAAAGCACTTATTATAATATCTTTAAAACAGCAAACCCTTTCATACAACATCCACTGCAAATCAGACACATTCTCTCCTTCAGTGGAGTGCCTCTTTATTCCACTCCCTCTTCCCCACAAGTACTCCTGTGTCACCTTGTGTTTGCAATTTATGTCATTTCAACACATGTCAACATTGCAGGGTGGTCAACTGGTGAAGTATATAGTTGGCACAGAGAGGTCGATTATAACTTTACTGAGGGAGGTGAGGTTGCACACCGAAATGTATGCTGAAGCAAAACTCCCTTAGGAAAATTACTTCCTCTCTTAATGGAGAGAAATTAAGACTTTTTAAAGACTTTTATGCCAGCATCTCCTAATAACTAGAGACAGGAACTTAACCATTCATGATCTACTGATATTTTCTACATGACCTGAGAGGACAGGGCAGTTCTGTTGTCTCTTGTGCCAGAGAATAGGACCAGATCTGATGATTTTAAGTTACAGTAGATTTACCCATGGGAGTAAGGACAGTTTGGCAATGGAAGAATTAGCTCCAGAGAAGTGGTAACTCCTACTCTGGATGTTTTCAAAAAGAGTCTCAACAAGTTAAACTACTTGGAAGGTATTGGGCTCAATGGATCATGAGGCCCCTTTCAACTATGACTTCGTGATTCTAAGAAACTATTTTGGCAATTTCAGTGTTATCAAAATGAAATGGAGCTTATTCACTTGCTCCTTCTGCAGCGGCTTATCATTTCAACCCCCACCGCCTACATAACTTTTGTGGCTTTTACAAAGTGTCTCAGTTACAATAGTGTTATTATTCCTTGAGATAAAGAAAGAAATTGATAGGTAATCAGTAGGGGTGTGCAAATGTTCATTTTTAAATCATAAGTCATATCTAATTCGTAAGGTTTGTATATACAAACAGATATTAAGAAACACCCCCCGAGGGGGGGGGGGAGGCACTGAAAAGCTTAAGATGCAAAACTCACCCAATAATTTTTCATTTGAATTCTGTAATGCTCAGAAGTTGGTTTCATTTTTAGTGCAAGTTAGGCAAAGCCAAAAAGGCTGCATTTCTTCTTTAAATTAAGAAGTGATCGGTTGCCTTTTGCCATGAGGAGAGAAAAGCAGCAGGGCAGGATGAGCTGAGTGAGCTGGGAGAGAGACTGAGAGAGAACAGCATTCTGGGGAATGTAGTTTAAGAAGGCAAGAAGCCCTATGGCAGAGAATTCAAAAGGCACTGGCTTATACTACATTTCCCTGAATTCTGCTCAGCATTAGAAAGCTCCAATTAGGATAGGGGAGAGATTTGCCAGAGTTCCAATAAATCGTTGAATCTGCAAAGAGGAGGACTGACTGTTGCTACTTCAATACTAGTAAGGAAATCAGTGCTGAGTTGGGAATAAATTCTTAAGTTTTATTGGTTAAAGACATTCAATGAGATAGCTGGTGGCTTTAAAATGTTTTTGTCAATTTTTTAAATTCCCAAAATCACTAGATGTATCAATATTTCTGAAACTTGGGAGGAGTGATCCCCTGTTATCTTGTGTCATTGTACAGAAAATTTAAAGAGATAGCTCTTGTTGTTTTTTAAAATGGTTGTTTATAAAAACTTTGAAAAGTTTCCAAATCAGTGGATGAGTGAAACATTCTGAAACTTGATGGGCTAACAGTGGTAAATGTGAATTATCATAGTAATTTTCATGCCACTAGCTCTAACAATGAGGGGGAAAGGGGCCCTTGAAGTTTCCACATTGGCACAATTATGTAACGAAAAAGTCATGATAGTTACAATATGGACGCTGTCCAATTTCGAAAACACTTTAGAAATGATTTTTCTCCCATTCCCTAATTTCATAATGAATATTGAAACTTTTTTTCACTGATCGCTTAGGCCTAATAACTAGAAAATGCTCTCAAGAATGCCACCGTTGTGTAGATGACACCCAACTCTATTTCTCCTTTCTGTCAAGTAGTTGCTTCAGATTTAAACCAGTATCTGGCGTCACTAATGAATTGGATGAGCATGAACAAATTGAAGTTTAAGGTGCTCCTGGTCAGTCAAAAGACTAATCAGGGAATCTGGATTTAGGCCTCACACTCCTTCTCATGATTTACATTTACAATTTGGATGAATGCCTGGACTGAGTCTGTAGTCTCAGCTTTCTGCTGTGGTCAGGAGTGCTTTTGTAAACTTAGTGCAACCAACTAAACAAACCTCATGCAGCAAGTCTGTCTCTTCCATATAACATGGTGAAGTAGTTGTTGAAAGCAATCTCCATGTGAAAATTAAAACTTGCCCCACCAAAGGAAAAAAAAAGGTTTTTCCCTCCTCCTAGTCATTTTTCAGGGGGATAGAAGGCCAAGATAAACTTCTTTACTCTGTTTTTTTTCTTACTTCCCTTATGAATATGTTGCAGACACATTCCTTAGTCCCTCACACTCATTTTTTTCCTTTTACTCTGTCTGTACCTTAATTTATTGTGGTTTTTATCCGTATCATTTATAGATGATGTAAAGAAGCAAGATTCACATGAACAGAGTTAACATCCATTTGCGGAGCATGTAGAAAGACGTATTTTCTTTTCCACCCTATAAAGCTCCAAGTAAATTACTTCCAAACCTCAAAAAATAAATGTGCAACAGCTGTATGAATGACCTCTGACCGTTGCCCCTCCCCACATGTCATATGCCCAAGAAAGCCATGTTTCTAAAGAGCTGCTTCAATTTTTCATTTGTAAGCTCTTCTATAGTGCAAATATATGTCGCAGAACAAATATTGACAAGAATCCAAAAGCAACATGGTACTGCAAAAGTAACTTTTCAGTTCCCTGTGAAAGCAGAAAATGGGTTTATTTGGGTTGTTAAGCTTACACTACTAAAGCCAGAAAGAGGAATACCCAAAACATATGCATGCTTACATTTCAGAAGGAGGAAGAAAGAGCAGAGATGCCAAGATCCATTCTACTTGGATTACTACAGAGGCATTTGTGATGGAGAAAAATATTTCAGGTAAAATTTAAGTCTCTTCCGGTGTGTTTTTCAGTGTTTTATGAGTGATGGTCACTCATTGGCCTAATAGATTTATTGTGTCCAAATTTGGTGTCACTTCACCCAGTGGTGTTTGAGTTATGTTAATCCCACAAACAAAAATTACATTTTTATTTATACAGACTGGGATATAAATGCAATGAATAAAGCCATTATGAATACTAATATGCAGTTATATTTCCACAGGAGCACTTTTTCTAAAATAAAATGTGATGCAGGCCATCAATTAGAAATGTAGTTTATTGATACATAAATGCACTGTTATAGCAGTAAGCAAAAGTACTGTTTTTGCTTGCTTGGTTGATTGACTTTACATCCTGCCTTTCTCATGGATGGGATCCACATTAGCTCATATCAAGTTAAAAAAAGGAGTGCACCAAAAACCTATCTGATACAAACATTTTTTTAAAGTATTAAATCAGCAATTCCCAAATTCCAGTCTTTCAGGTGTTTTTAGATTTTAACTCTAATAAGTTGGAGCCCTAGCCATTTTGGCTAATGGTCTGAGATTGTGAGAGTTGAAATCCAAAATACCTGGAAGACCAGAGTTTGAGAATGAAATATAAAGTTCAACTAAAAATGCTGAATTACAACCAAAATACATTATAAAAAGATATAACTACAATATATCCCCTGAAAAGGATTATTCTTCCACAATAACTCCATCTGCCAGAGTAAATTAGAACACCAAAGTCAAGTCTAAGTAATAGCTTAAAAACTCAAAATCAGGATAGTAAATAAAGAGCAACAATCAAATAGCAGGGGAAATCCAGACAAGAATCAATCAGGGTCAGTTAACACCTCCCAACAAAGGATTCCCCCAGGCAGCAACCAGCCAGGTTTTGAATCTGCAAGACCATTAAATGGTAATCAAGGTGGCTATTTGCCTCAAGCAGACAAGAGTTCTTTCTCCTACCCTGGACATTCCACAGATATACAAACCTCACTTGCCTAGTTTCCAACAGACCCCATCTATGGATGCCTGCAATACATGTGGGTGAAACGTCAGGAGAGAATGCTTCTGGGACATAGCTATTCAGCCTGGAAAACTTGCAGCAACCCAGTGATTCCAGCCATGAAAGCCTTTGACAACACACTAGATAAAAAGATCTTTGCCAGCCATCAGAAAATGAGAAGACTAACCTTCTCATGGGAGATAATTTCATGCTTGGAATCAGTTTTTTCCTTATCCTCAGCAAATAAACCTTGTGATGACAGAGAGAAAGTATTTCCCCAAAAATCTTAAATGGCAAGCAGACACACAGAAGGATATACAAGATCAAACACACTTATTGATGAAAAAGTGAAAAGCTGTTTGTGCTCACTTCCACTACTAGTCTTGCTTCAGGACTCAAAGTAAGGCCAAACTATGGCTGAGATAACATGCCATTGCCTTTCTCTCCCACAGTTGCATTGTAGATGGCATAATCTTGATTTGTTCTGTGTTCACGGCCAGGAAGAGTTAAGGATAGTCATGACCTCTGAACAGCTGTAGATCAGCTTAGAAATTTTACTTTTTGATCTACTATTTCCAAATATTTTATTATTATCCCACCTTTCTCACCATGGGGACTCAAGGCTGCTAACATCTATCTACATGACAGTTTAAAAGGTTTTACAAAAGTTTTTTAAAAAAAACAGATGGTAACAGTGTGGTAAAAATAGAATACAGTAAATATACTAAAATTGCCTTTGAAAGTCATATTCCCTTAAATCCCACCCAACCTCCCCAGAGCCAGCCAAATACTATAACTAATCTTTGTCCAAGATCCAGGATTCAACCAATCAGAGAACTAGACATGTAGTCAGCAGGCAGTAAGTTATTGCAAATTGTAAATAAATATTGTGGAATAAAATTGTATGAAACATTAATAAAATTAATGAAATTTATTCTGCACCTCACTAGTTATTCCAGTACCTTTGTATTCACTGGCAAGAAACTGGTTTCATGTCTTAATCACTGAGTAGAATATTGACACAAACTTTTATCTCTCTGCAAACAAAATAGTTTGGAAACTTCCAGGATTTTCAGATTTTATTGAAAAGGGGAGTGGGGCAGGGAATTGTTATGTGTTAAAGAAAAAAAAATGCCATACCAGAATATATAACTGAAGGAATTGGTAAGGCCATACATCTAACTTGTTTTCAATTTTCCGAAGCCTGCAAGATTCTTAACCCTGCTAAGAAAGGTATTTTTCCACTGTGACAAAAGAACTACTTACTGCAGCCATGGAATTGATGCGGTCAATATAATAGTCTGGCCAACTGGTAGCAAGTTTATTTGGGTCTTCTTGCTCCTGAAACAGAAAAATCAACCAAAGTTAAATGGCAACTATTTAAGAAAGAAGCGACTCTATTAGTCTGAAAATGGTTTGGTAGTGCAAACACAACATATTCCATAAACTGGAGCAATGCATAAAAGCCCTGGCTCTTCTAGTCTGACACTGACTCTCGAAGTGTATGAAAATCCCTGGTTCTTAGAAGAGCATTCTGTTACCACACAGAAAATCTTGTTTTCTTTTGAAAGAAATTTTGTTTTTATGCAGAAAATGACATTTTTGTACAATTTTCCCCTTCAGATATATAGACATATACATAAAGTAGATTCTTAGCATCCATCTCCAAAATATCTCATTATATAGGCATATTTCAATGCAAGTATTAAAAATACAAAATATTTCTGGTCCTAAGCACTTCGGAGACAAGGTACTCAACCTGAAACCCAATTTTTCCCCACAACTTTAAAAACATGTAATTGATAAAACGGCCTTTTAATAATCTTGCCATTGCTTTAATATAGCAAACACCAGGAGTCAACCTACACTTTGCTAAATGAGAAGGTTAAAGCTTATATGAAATCATATATATTAATTACTATGTTAGTGAAACCATAATTTGGTGATCGAAATTTGTTGCTTGGCCTTCTTAAGCATGACAGGATTCCTGAAACCCTGTCATGTTATTTGTATTCTGTGAAACAACTGTTTAAATAACGATTGGAGACTTCCACGTTTATTCAAGGTAAAATTTGCTTTAATTATCTAATGCTAGTTTTAAATTTTATCCTGTCATACCCAATCTTTTTCTATGCATTATTAATCAGTTATACCATAAGTCAACCTAAAGGAGAAAGTTGAATGAATTCCCCTTGGACTTTTCCCTGTGGTTTCATGAAGATTTCAATACAGCAGAGCATGAATAAAATAAAGTATTGATTTCCCTTTTAATTTCATATAGATTTTGCCATATCCGTATTCACTCCAGACTTCAGTTTGTATAAAAGACAGAAACAATAATAATTTTCTCTTACATGGTTGCCCAGTTCAGATAAATATATTATTTGTGTTAGAGAATTGTTTGATTATTTTCATATTTTCCCTTTCACATGGAATGGGGCTCAAAGCAAAATGAGTTAACCAAATCTTCTTTAGCATTTTGAAACTCTTTGCTGAGTTATTCCACATCAAACAGGACAAATCTCCTTTTGCAACCTCTTTAGAGAAGTGGTTCCCAATCTTTTTTTGACCAGAGACCACTTGACTAGGGACCACTTTGACCACGGACCATTCTCCAACATTAGTACCAAAAGGGTTATGAATTGGTTTTTGGTCAACTTTAGATTTGGTTTGGGGTTCTGATTCAGAAAACTGCATTGGATAGACCACATCAGCTCAAGTTTTTGATATAGAACATACACCATGGTCAGTGACAGGGAAGGAGTGACAGGTGGCATGAAAAGCATGGAAATAAATAAAATAAAATAAAATAAAATAAAGAGAAAGGAGGCTCACGAACCAGATTTTTGTTCTCACAGCCCATTGGTGGTCCACAGCCCACAGGTTAAGAACCATTGCCTTAGAGACACTCTCAGGGCACAAGGCTTTGGAATTATTTGATGTTCAACTACCCTTACCTACCTCTTGAGAAGTGATCATTCCATCTCATCTTAACTTAGTACTTGTTTAACTATTCCCAAGTATTAAAATGTATCTGGCGATATCTACAAATTACTGGTATTATAGTCTAGAACAGTGGTTCTCAACCTGTGGGTCCCCAGGTGTTTTGGCCTACAACTCCCAGAAATCCCAGCCAGTTTACCAGCTGTTAGGATTTCTGGGAGTTGAAGGCCAAAAACATCTGGGGACCCCAGGTTGAGAACCACTGGTCTAGAAAGACAGAGCTTCCCTCCTCTCAACTGAAAGAGAAAATACAGCACTTTAAAACAGTTTCCAATCAGCAAGGAAAATCTTATGTCAGATGGCTACAAGACAACTTAGCATAGTGAAAAAATACTTTTATGTTCCAGGAGATGCCAAAGGAACGTAAGGATCCTACTCTCCAAAGCCACATGGGCATAAGTATATGGAAACAATTACCAAATGTACGAGAAAGCCATTTATGTAAGAATACATTGGAGAAAAGCACACTTACAATTTACAATGAACAACTCTTTAGATTGAAAACACTGTTGAATGCCAGGTCCATGAATAGAAAAAAGACAAGTACTATGCAGGTTACGCTGTTGAAGCTGGCTAACCTCTGGAATGAAGAATTCACCTGGATAGTGGTCATAATCATTCTTAAATACACCCTCTTACATATTGGAACCAAAACAACCTCTTGTTTTCCAAGGAGTTGGCAGCATGAAAGAATGATATAAAAGTATAGTGGCAATGACAGAAAACTCAAAGCCTGTGTGACCAAAATGAACATTTAAAGGCCAGTTGTTGTTATCATTGCAAATGCAAGTACCTGCCCATAGGAGCTATTCTGGGTGATCAGAGAACTATTTTACACTGGTTTTCAAAAAGAAAATGCAGACTGTTGAACAGCTTCCTGCAAATAATTTGCATGGTACTGTACAGAAAAAGTCACACAAATCCATTGCAGCTTGGATTTTGTAGTTGACATAGTTCCAGCGAATGCAATCATTGTTCCTGTTTGTTCAGTGTCATTGGACACTTTTCAATTTGTGCAGCCTGAGGATGTGGACAGGATTCTTGGGAGACATGCAAGCCATTACATGTGTATTAGGCCCCTGCCCTTCCTGGCATATCAATCAAGCCAGAGTGCAAAAACAACTTGAACTCTATTAACTCAGTGTGGAGGAGGAAAGAGGAGGGGGTAGAATCTTGCTCTTCCCAGTTGGCTCAGGCAAAAGCAAACTGCTGCAGCATCTCCTAGCTTGTCTGGTCTGTCTCATTACCAACTTCAACCATCTTGGTAATGCTGTTTGGCCACATGGGACAATTTTCATCTATGAAATATTAGAAGGTATATTCTATGCACTTTGAAAATTAAGAAATGGATACAGACTTATTTCAGTTCAACAAAGTCTTCATACTAAACCAGAATCTGCTTTTGGAGGACAGGGTGGGTGAATGTTCCTGCTTGGCAAGGTTGTAAAATTACTGTTTATTTAAACCATATTTCTTTAAGTTGAATTCTACAAAGAAAACAAGATTCAGTCAACTGTTGCACTGTTCGGCACTGCTCTGAATAGACCAATTTAGTCTTTTTTAAAAAAATACGAAACTTACAATATACAGCACATTGCTAATGGTTTGGGGCGGTGGGTATATGCCTTGTTGTGTTACGATTGATTACATTTTTGTTGGTAGGTGTTCTCTGATTAATGTGTAGAATATAAGAACTCCCCTCTAGGACACAATATGGTTTTGTGATTGAAGCCAAAAAAAGTTCAACATTTTCAGACTATGTATACATACCCACCCCCACCCCCCTTACCTCCCCTTTCAAGGCAGTTAGGCCACAAGAAGTTTCAGTTTTGGAACAAGATAAGCCGCGAGAACCAAGTTCCTTTGTAGCCTGATGTGGTTATTATCCACCGTTTCTTTAGTGCATATATTAAGTGCTTCCAAAGCATTGCGAGGTGCTTCTGGAATGGGATATATTTTCCTAAAGTTTCCTAGGGGGAAAGGCATCATTTAGAGCCATATTATCCCTCACCCCGCCCAAATTTCCATTGAGTCATTTGGGTGTGATGAAGCAAATATCCATTGATGCAATTGACAGTTTAAAGAAGAAATTGCTCCCTGAACAACTGATTTCTAGTGATCAGTAATTAGGAATGGGGACAAATGTTTTAGACTTCTGTTACATACTTTATTATCCTTCTCGATAACAGATTTCTAGAACAAAGAAAAACACTGCTATAAGGTAGTTTGCAATTTCTGGCTCACTTTTATATGCAGTATTTCAGCAGGAGCAAAAAAAAAAAGGGGGGGGGGCTGAAAATGCAGGCATCCAAAGAGGATTGTTCATATGTATATTTACTAGTGTAAGTGGAAAATCTTAAACTTGAAGCTATGGGTGAGTAATTATCAGATATTGAACTAGCCCTTCAGATAACACTGAGGGCCACACACATTCACCCTTCTTGTCTTTCTCTTTGGGAGGGGATAATTGTGATACTTTGTCTTTTAAACAAAAGTGTAGCCAAGACAAGGGAGAACCTGAACGATGGCAACAATTGCCCCTAGAGGGCATAGGATAGCATTTTCTATCATGGGGGGGGGGACATTAATACTTAGCATGCTGAAATCTCAAAGATGGCCTTAGGAGGAGGCATGAAATTCACCTCTCCTGCCTCATGCATCAATGACACATTCACCTCTCCTGCCTCATGCATCAATGAGTGCAATGTTGTGATTTGAAAAAAATACAAAATTGTTCATAAGCCACCACCATAAGTATGGAGATGCTGTAGAAATACAGAAAGGTAGAACAGTTAACCTTCAAACCTTTCTGATACCTAATTATTCATTTTTAGTTATCATATCACTGCTTCATATTACTACAAATGGAATGTTGATACCGACTAGTTCATTTAAAAAATACCTACAGCATATATAATATTCACACTACAAATGCCAGGAAAACCCACATCTCTAGAAAAACTGCAGGCCTATTGATCTAGATCCAAGAATCCCATCACACTAGCTCATTGTTTTAGTGATTACACATTTTCAGAGTCTACTCAAGTTGATCTACAATAAAAATGTAATGACACAAGAGACTGCACATGGGATGGCATGTTTATAACACTTTTTGTGTTTATGCAATGTTGTCTTTCAACAGTACTATACTGGCAGGCATTTTCACTTTGCATTTTCACAGTGAGGGCACACTGCTAAATTTTATGAAAGAAGACAGACAAGAAGTGTTGCAGACTCACACTGTAAATGGATGTTTCAGTACATCACAGTGTAGAAAAAGGCAAGCTCCTTGATGGCCAAATCTTTCTGTACACAATGATAGTGAGGGGAAAAAAGGT